TTTCTCTTCCCTGTCTTCCACTTCTCTTCAGGGTCAGGGCTTGTGTCTAGTGGGACTGGTGCAGTTTCATTAATAACGTATAAGAGGAGAGTAAGCAGCATGTTAACTGAATCCCCACAGGGGCCAGGAACAGAGCCAGGGCGTCTTCCTCTCGGTCTGAGCAACCTGTCTGCTGGGGTGGGATTTGAACCTGGAGCTGCCCCTTTTCCTTACAGATGAGGGAAATGATGGGCTGCACTTGGCTAATGTCCTGCTGTGAATCCAGAATTGAGAGCTAGCGGACAGAGACTGTAGAGGTCGCTGGGGTAAGTGGGGCAACGCGCCGACAGAAAACAAGACCAACCCCTGTGTGTATAAATATTGGCTAAATAGATTTATTTTCATACAAAGAATTCACGGCTCTCCCTGCAGTGACACCAGCAGGATGCCGGATCCCCCATAGAGACACCCTATCCTCCTGCATGAGACCTACAATAACATCCTGACCCGATGCCTGCCTGAAGCTGCTGCAAAGACCAGTCTTCCAGCTGCTGGCTCCCTTGTGCTTCTTTTATTAGCCACTCTTGGAAACGTCAGTACCTGCCCTAGAGCCAGCATCTCCTAGCACTTTCCAGGGGCTGACATACAACTGTGCACCTCCAATATAACAGGGAAGGGGAACCAACATCTGGCTTCCCCCCTTATCATCCACATGGGTCCAAAACAAATATCGAGTCAGATTCAGCCCTGGGGGAGGTGGGCACAACTCCATTGGCTTCAGTGCTTACACCAAGGCTGCATCTGGCCCACTGAGGCACCTCAGGCATTTTCCTGGCATCCCCCCACTTATTATGTTACATTCACAACAATCCCAGAGCTGGGCAGACACGGGGCCCTTCTTCTTGGACCCCTGGGATGCTGAATCTCGGAGCTGAGAGGCTGGACAACCCCTCACAACACAGGCATGAATCCAAAGTGGTTTCCTGCTCTCCTCCTGTTATTTATCCCTTTGAGGCTCTGGCAGGCTGAGAAGTTCTGTCTGGGATTCCTCAGAAGGGGTTTCACATGCCCCTTCACTGCTCTCAGATCAGAGGTACTGTTTTTAAAAAGAAGGGATTTATGTAGGAGCGATGAAATGGCAGGGATCTGTAGTGGCTGGGAGGGCAGGGGAATCTCAGCTGGGCGTTCGGTTTCTTTCCGGCTCCCTTCTGTAGCAGCGTATGGCACCAGTGGATTGCACTGCCAGCAGGAGGGACTCAGGAGACTGGCATCTATGGTCAGCTCTGCCACTGACCTGCCGGGTGATCTCGAGCAAGTCACATCATCGCTTTGTGCCTCAGTGTCCCCTCCCACCTTTTGCCTGCAATGTCTCTTTAGCAAGTGCTTAGGGGTAGGGACTGCCTGTAACTATGTGTTTGTGCAGCACCTAGCACAATGCAGCCCTGATATCAGCTATTGTCATACAAATAAAATAATAATTAATAATATAGCACATTTCATCCTGAAGGATCCCAAAGTGCTCTATAGACTGATCCCTGAAATGCAGCCCGCTCTGGGGTGGGATGTGGCAGCTGTTTAACAGCACACAGCAACACCACACAACAGTGTTTAAAGAAGGGCCAGCAAGGATAAACTCTCTGACTGTAACTGCGCTGGGCATGCTAGATTGGCAGAATGTAGTTACCTGAGCTGGAGTTTCGTGCCTACCCTCCTCCTGCCCTTGTCCACCCCCATCTCCTACTTTCTTCCATCCTGCGCCACATGCCTGGAACAACCTCCCCAGGATCATAGGCCGAGCTCCCTTTGCCTCCACCTTCCCCAAATGTGGCCTGCAAGCTCCAGTGACTGGGTCACTTGAGTTTAGATTGTCAGCCCTGTGAGGAAGGGGGCTGGTGTCAGGTCAACCCTCCCCTTCCGCCCTCTATTTACGGCACCACAGATGGGATTCGTAATAACAACAACAAAGGAACGTGCCCAGGGCACTTAGTGACTGTGGGTGGTCAGGGCCTTGGTTTTACATCTGCTCTGAAAGGCGACTGTCCCCCGCCCCTGCAGAGTACAGGTGGAGCTCTGCCCAGGCCTGACTCCCCTCCCTCACCCTGTGGGGTCTCTCAGGGGACAGTGCATAATTGCCACATGCTCTGATACTGCGGCTGGTCGTAGAACCCTCCCCACGGTTTATACACACATTGAAAAAAGAAATCGCAGCTATTTCTCGAGATCCCCGCACGGTTCCTGGCTCTAAATCTTCCCTGTACAGCTAAATGGCGTGGAAACCTCAGCACTGGCTCAGCGAGCATCTCCTACATACTGGCATCCGCTGGAGATCCCAGCTGTTAGTACATGACACCCGAAGGGCGGGGCAGCCTGTGTTCCTGCCCTAGGCAGGGGCTCAGAAGTGGGTCTGAGTGAGCTGGGCTCCTGTCTGTGGTGCCTAATCCTCATCATTGTGTGATCATGCCCGCTGACAGTCCTTTCTCAGGCCAACTCAAACTTGCAGGGAGGCAGCACGATCGTTTGGACGCCTGGCTCCGAAGCCACTCACTTGTTGCGTGCCCCCTTCCCTTTTCTGTGCCTCGGTTTCTTGGTTGGTCCGGTGGGGTGAATGATACTGACTTGCCTCCCTGCTGGGGGTTGTGGAGATGTCCGGCAATGGGAAGATGGAAAGCCCTAGCGACGTGCAGAGTGCGGCTGGTTCTCAGTCCACTGATTCCTCATCCCCGTTCCCTGCATCGTTCTGCTCGACGAGCTAACGAGGCGATGGGCAGTGCATAATGCACAGGTGAAAAGCCCTTTCAGCTGCAATGACAAGAACGCCCTGACCTTTCAGCCCTTTCAGCTACACAAGGCAAGGCAGAACCAGGTACGCCACTCACCAGCGTGGGGCTGGTCAGCTCCGCAGGCTCTGATCTGCTCCAGGAGGAGGGAATGATTCCCTCTGAACACTATGAACTCCAGCAAGGGGGAACGGGAATGTGCCTGTCTTACTGGTGTGGGGCTGGGAACCCCCCCCCAGCTGTGTGGCTCCGGCTCTCGGCCATTCAGCCTGAGGCTTCCAGTGATACACTGGGGCCTCTGCCCCGCAATGTGTCCGGTTGACTGGTAGTAGCCTTTGGCTGCCACTTGGGAATGCCTGCAGGGAAATTTAGAGCTGTTTCTCTCGTTGCAGAGCAGGAGCCTGGGGGTCACAGCAGCTCCCCAGGCCCTGCAGGCTCAGGGAGAGCTGCAACACATGGGCAAGTGTCACCCCAACCCTAAAGGGTGGCGGAGCAAGGGATCGAGCACCAACCACCCAATAAATAAATAAATAGGGGGCAGGGCTTCCTCTAACCTTTGTGCGGGGCGACAGCCAGGCAGAGCACAGAGCAGAGCCCCTGTTATCCAGTCCAATAATTAAAGCACAAGGCACAAGGCTGGGCTCCACACGCACCTCTGCCGATGCCCCTCCATTATAACCCGCAGCCCCCTGGACCACACACAGCTCTGCCGATGCCCCTCCATTATAACCCGCAGCCCCCTGGACCACACACAGCTCTGCCGATGCCCCTCGATTATAACCCGCAGCCCCCTGGACCACACGCAGCTCTGCCGATGCCCCTCCATTATAACCCGCAGCCCCCTGGACCACACGCAGCTCGGCCGATGCCCCTCCATTATAACCCGCAGCCCCCTGGACAACACACAGCTCTGCCGATGCCCCTCCATTATAACCCGCAGCCCCCTGGACCACACGCAGCTCTGCCGATGCCCCTCCATTATAACCCGCAGCCCCCTGGACCACACACAGCTCTGCCGATGCCCCTCCATTATAACCCGCAGCCCCCTGGACCACACACAGCCCTGCCGATGCCCCTCCATTATAACCCGCAGCCCCCTGGACCACACACAGCTCGGCCGATGCCCCTCCATTATAACCCGCAGCCCCCTGGACCACACGCAGCTCTGCCGATGCCCCTCCATTATAACCCGCAGCCCCCTGGACCACACACAGCTCTGCCGATGCCCCTCCATTATAACCCGCAGCCCCCTGGACCACACGCAGCTCGGCCGATGCCCCTCCATTATAACCCGCAGCCCCCTGGACCACACACAGCTCGGCCGATGCCCCTCCATTATAACCCGCAGCCCCCTGGACCACACACAGCTCGGCCGATGCCCCTCCATTATAACCCGCAGCCCCCTGGACCACACGCAGCTCTGCCGATGCCCCTCCATTATAACCCGCAGCCCCCTGGACCACACGCAGCTCTGCCGATGCCCCTCCATTATAACCCGCAGCCCCCTGGACCACACACAGCTCGGCCGATGCCCCTCCATTATAACCCGCAGCCCCCTGGACCACACGCAGCTCTGCCGATGCCCCTCCATTATAACCCGCAGCCCCCTGGACCACACGCAGCTCTGCCGATGCCCCTCCATTATAACCCGCAGCCCCCTGGACCACACACAGCTCGGCCGATGCCCCTCCATTATAACCCGCAGCCCCCTGGACCACACACAGCTCTGCCGATGCCCCTCCATTATAACCCGCAGCCCCCTGGACCACACGCAGCTCTGCCGATGCCCCTCCATTATAACCCGCAGCCCCCTGGACCACACACAGCTCGGCCGATGCCCCTCCATTATAACCCGCAGCCCCCTGGACCACACACAGCTCTGCCGATGCCCCTCCATTATAACCCGCAGCCCCCTGGACCACACACAGCTCTGCCGATGCCCCTCCATTATAACCCGCAGCCCCCTGGACCACACGCAGCTCTGCCGATGCCCCTCCATTATAACCCGCAGCCCCCTGGACCACACGCAGCTCTGCCGATGCCCCTCCATTATAACCCGCAGCCCCCTGGACCACACGCAGCTCTGCCGATGCCCCTCCATTATAACCCGCAGCCCCCTGGACCACACGCAGCTCTGCCGATGCCCCTCCATTATAACCCGCAGCCCCCTGGACCACACGCAGCTCTGCCGATGCCCCTCCATTATAACCCGCAGCCCCCTGGACCACACGCAGCTCGGCCGATGCCCCTCCATTATAACCCGCAGCCCCCTGGACCACACACAGCTCGGCCGATGCCCCTCATCCTGCTCTGCAGTCACCCCCTGCTGCCCTTGGAACTCCCAGGGCGCCGGGGCTTGCGGTGGTTTCGTAATGCAGAGAAATGTCACCTAGGGACCCCACCTCAAACACAGACTGGTGAGCTATGAAAGGCTTCGAACCTACAGCTCCTGAGATGTGCCTCTCCCCTCCCCCCTCTTGGAAGTCTCATGGTGGTAAAAAAAAAAAAATTTAAACAGATGTTGAAGCAGATCAGACTGACTGGGGATAAGGTGGCGGATGGGAAGCCCTGCCCCGGGTGGCTGCTCGAATCCTCTTGAGAGGTATTGCGCCCCCTGGCATGTGACCCCGTTTCCAGCTCATTGAAAAGCTTGGTTATTACAACAGGGAAGGTGCTAACACAGCCCTGCACTCCCATCTTCAGAACCACCGCTAGTTCTCTCCAGGTCCTGCAAGTGCTGCTGTTCTAGCAGCCAATGTCTCTTCCCCCCAGGGCAGCTGACTGATGCAGGGTGATAGGCAGCGAGCCAGCTGGAAAGGTGGATTGTCGGGGGATGGCTGGTATCAGCGGCCAGATCTCCTGCGGGCAAGAATTTCCAGGCTCCCCAGCAGAGGGCCCCAGCTGGGAGAGCCCCGCGGCTGGCTCAGTTGTGCTTGTTGGCCATCTGTCGATCTCTCTTCTTTTTCTCCATCAGCCTGGAGGGGGAAAGAAAGTGTAAGGTGGCTTTGGACAGTTAGCCATGGCCCCCTGGGAGAAGACAGCAGATGTCTGCAGGCTTCACAGCTGCTCTCTAAGGGATTGGGATTTGTCACTTCATGAGAGGACAGTTATGCTTGTCTTAGCAGAGGGAGGAGTGCATGTGTAATCACACTGCCCTCCAGTGGCTGGTCTACAGAGTGGATAAAGGACCTACTATTACTATAGCTAAGGGAGCGCTCCCTTAGCTGCGGGGGCAGCAGCCTGTGTTTTTGATGCTGAAGTAGCTGGGTTCTATCCCAGCTCCCCGGGGTGGGTGGATGGGGTTTATCTACGTGGGGTTGGGACTCACTTCCTGTTGCGCACTTCGGTCAGCTCCACCAGCCGCTCCTTGGCTGCCCGCAGCTCGTCCAGCCACTGCTGGTGGCGCAAGTCACAGTTGTTGCTGTGCTCAAAGCTCGAGACCCGGTTGGAGAGCTCGCTGGCTCGGTCACGCAACTGCTGGATGGAGGAGTACAGGTTCTCCTCGTCTTCTTCCTGCGACAAGGAGATGCACAGAGAGGGGCTCGTCAGGAGCTGAGCAACCAGCCTGCCCTCCCTGCCCCACCTCGAGAAACACACTCTCGTGAGGCAAGAGAGGCTGTGCCTCTGGGTAGCCCAGGGGCCAGGAGTCCACTAGCCCTCCAGAACTAGACGGCTGGCTTCAGAATCACTTTCAATCACAAGTGGCATGAGTTTGCCAGCCTCAGCATAGTTTCTAATAGGGATCCATGTCCCAAACTGCCCCATCATTTAGTGACATGCATGCCCCTTCCCAGTCAATTAACCCAATGCTTTAATTAACCCTCACAGCCCACCCTGTGAGCTAGGACAGCAGTGGAACCATTCTCCCCATTTCACAGATGGGGTAACTGAGGCAGAGAGGGGAAGGGCCTTGTCCAAGGCCACATGTAAGTGAGTGCCCAAGCAGTAAGCAGACCCCAGCAACTCTAACCACTATGTGACACTCTTCCCTGGGGACCTTCCAGCTGCCCAGGACAGCTGAGCCCGACTGGCTGGCAGCACTGAGGAATGCAGACTGCTCAGCTCCTGCGTGGGAGTGAAAGTGCCTCACGCTGCTCCGCAGCGCCCTCTGCGACCGGTGAGTGAGCAGTACCAAGCCACAAGGGGTATATCCAACTAGTGCAGTGTGGGCGCTCTTTAGTGCCTAGGCTGGCGGTTCTCAAACTGTGGACCGCCACCCCCATTTTAATGGGCTTGCTTGGGCTGGTTTAGATTTGCTGGAGCTGGGGCCGAAGCTTGGGCCCCACTGCCCGGGGCAAAAGCCAAAGCCAGAGGGCTTCAGTCTTGGGTAGTGGGGCTCAGGTTACAGGCCCCTTCCTGGGGCTGAAGCCCTTGGGCTTTGGCTTTGGTCCCACCCAGGGCAGGGAGGTTCAGCCAAGCTCAGGCTTCGGCCCCCCCTCCTGGGGTTGTGTAGTAATTTTTGTTGTCGGAAGGGGGTCGTGGTGCAATGAAGTTTGAGAACCCCTGGCCTAGGCCCTCAATCGGGGCATCCCTCCTTTGTCCAGCTACAGGCCACGTGGGCACCTCACCAGCAGCCACGTTCAGCTGGCACCCACCACACTCACATCGCAATAGCGGTGTGGCCTCTGAAGACTACAGATCCCAGCATGCAGAGTTCCTATGGGAGCTAAGCCGGAGGCTGCATTGCATGCTGGGACTTGTGGTCTCCATGGGCCACACCTCTGCAGGAAAGATGAGGCTACCCTGTTGAATGCTATAAGCTGGCCCTCCTCTGGCTGTTTGAGCTTCACCTTCAGTCAGCTGGCGTGGGCTGCTCAGATGCCCCAGCAGTGCCCTGAACTCCCAAGGCCTGTCAGCAGGGGAAGGAGATGGGAGGGGTCCCTATGGTGCAGACATCACATCACTGTTTTCAGTTCTCCTAGCCAGTCCTTTCCTTCAGAGGCTGGCAGCTCTGCAGGGCGAGGCAGGGGCGAGCTGGCTCTGCAGCGCTGTTCGGAGTCAGAGCTAGGGGGCTGGGTGAGAAGGGAGTTTCGGGAGCTGGCTAACGACCAAAGGAGGCAAGTGACTTAAAGGCACCAGCTGATGCTGGGGGCAGGCAGCTCCTGGTGGGGTGAGTCGCGTCACAGGGCACTCACCTTGGCGTTGATGATTTCAATGTGGATGAGCAGGGAGGAGAGCTCCAGGTCCTCAGTGTAGCTGTTCTTCAGGGGCACTGACCTGTAGCCTGCAGGCAGCAGCGGGGTGATAACAACCCAGTCAGCATGGCTCCATCCCAGCACCCGCACTGCCCTCCCAACATGCCCGGGCACAGAGGAAAGCAGCCAGGACCGACCTCCCGCTCACATGCACGCTCCTGTGCGCATGCAGATGTTCTTGCACACTCCCCTGCAAACCCGACAAGCTCACACATTGTCCTACCTGAGATCTCACAGCAACACACACATTTGGGAAGGGAGGAAGCTGGCAGGTTTGGGGCATCAGGGGGTTGCTGGTAAAGACAGAGTTGGGAGGGGTGGGCACTGCCAGCTGAACAGGCAGATGCCTGCCGGGTCCTGGGGTGAGGAAATCCCCATGCGGAGCTGGCTCTGGGGACAGGCCTACCTTGGGGAGGGAGCGTGGAAAGGAGGGGCTAGTGGCAGGCAGCCTGTACCTGTCTTGAGGCCCTTGACGGGGAAGGTAGCCTGGGCCAGGAAGTTGGGGTCACTGAACATGTCCTCCTCGTACACCACGAAGCGCAGGAAGGCAAACTCAGGGTTGTTGATGTCGAAGACGAACTGCTTGAAAAGCCACACGGGGTTCAGGCCATTATCAGCTGGCGGAAAAAGGGGGCGGTCAGTGCACAAGAAACACAAGCCTCTGAACGCCTTACGCCAGCAGAGAACAAAGGGGAGCGCCCGCCGTCTGGCAAGGCAAAGGAGTTGGCTGGTGCGTGTGTGTGTGTACATGGCACACGCCACTGGCACTTGCTGGAGACACGCTCCGAGTTGTGTGTCTGTAGGGACCCATCACCCACCCCTTGTGGCAGGTGTCAGACCCATGTAAGGGTACACCGGCCCGGATGGACACATCACCGCTGCCTGCTGGAGTGCGTGGGACCTGCTCAAAAACAAATCAGTTCCATTACTCCCGGGGAGAACGATGTTACTAACAGATCCCCTGTTCTAGGATCACTCTGTCCCTGTAGATCCACCCTCTCCCAAGGGGAGCAGTTTAAGGGCAGATGCACTGAGGGAGCACGGGCTGACATGGCTCCTTTTACAGATGCCCTCTCCAGCTCTGAGGGTTCACAGCCCCTTATTAGGGCAATTGCTACATCACACTTCCAGGGTCCACACAGCCGCTCCAGAGGGGCCGTTCATGGGGGAGCTGCCCCTCGCCACCCCAACACATGGGCTTCCAGTACCCTGAGAGCTGCAGGGCATGAATTCTGCTGCCTCCTGTACGGAGGCTGACAAACAGGTCTGTGTATGGCATGTGGGAGGCTCAGGGCAATCTGTGGCAGAGCAAAGTCAGGCCCCTTGTATTCATGCTGCAATTAATGAACAGCCCCAGCCATGCAGGGAACCAGCTGAATTTCTGCGCAGGCCAGGTGGGGGATGAGCCTGTTAGGAGCATTCTGTTCTGCTAGAGGAGAGGGCCCAGTTCTGTTCTCTGCAATGCCTGTTCCCCGCCAGCCCCTCCAGCTCCTCACCTACGACATCCGTCTTGTTCTTGCTGCTGTCAAACTCCGAGCCGCAGACCTCCACCTCCACGAAGGGGCACACAATGCTCCTGCCATTCTTGGGGAGATGCCGGGCGCCTAGGATCTGGGGTGAGGAGGTGGAGATGCCGGGAAGAGACGAGCGGACTGCAATGTTAGAACTGCTGCAGAATCCCAGCCAAGGGTGCCAGAACAGAGGGGGCCAGGGGGCCAGGCCCCATCACATTTGACCGGCCGTAAGGGTGAGAGACAGAGCGGGGACAGGGGGATGGAGAGGAGCGAATGGGAGGTGGGATCTTGGGGGGAAGAGGCGGCAGTGGGGTGGAGCCTCAGGGTGAAGGGGTGGCATGGGGGGCAGGGCCACAGTTTGGGCACCAGTTTTCCTCTCCCCCCCCCACTTTTAGGAAGCTTCCGCCACTCCTGATCCCAGCTCCTAGTTGCCTCATTTCTGACTCAATCTCTGTGCTGGGTTTCTGTAATGTTCATCTTTAGGGTATGATCCTCCTCACTAGGGATCCCCCATTCTGTCCTCAGGGGCGGCGCCGCTGTGACATTGTGTGTCCTAAATCATTATGCACCAGCGGGGGCAGGCAGCACACTCCCAGGGGATGGGAGTAGTACACACCCGCTCCGGCCTCAGGGGTTTTTCCAATGTCCCCGCACCACTCACTATTCTATTCTATTCTATTCTTGACAGGTTTTTATACCATGCTCCTCACAGTGGTGTCTAAGCGCCCTCCTATACTGCCACGTGATCCCGCATCTGTCACATCCCAGGCCTTGCTGCTTATCCCTGATTGGAATTCTTGGCAGCAGAAACACTCAGTCATGGAGCTGGGGGGCTAGTCCCAGACCCTGCTCACCCTGCCCACTAGCATCCTGAGTTCACCATCTTTTACTGACTCAACATAAAAAATGGCTCACCCCACACAAGCAGGGAAGTAGAGTCTGTATATGTGTATGTGTGTGTGTGTGTGGGGGGGGGTGTCACACAAGCAGGGAAGTAGAGTCTTATATATATGGGGGGGGCATTGCCCTCTACAGGATGGAACCACTGCTCAGCTGTGTGTCATAGGCTGTATACTGAATCATAGAATCATAGAATCATAGAATATCAGGGTTGGAAGGGACCCCAGAAGGTCATCTAGTCCAACCCCCTGCTCAAAGCAGGACCAATTCCCAGTTAAATCATCCCAGCCAGGGCTTTGTCAAGCCTGACCTTAAAAACCTCTAAGGAAGGAGATTCTACCACCTCCCTAGGTAACGCATTCCAATGTTTCACCACCCTCTTAGTGAAAAAGTTTTTCCTAATGTCCAATCTAAACCTCCCCCACTGCAACTTGAGACCATTACTCCTCGTTCTGTCATCTGCTACAATTGAGAACAGTCTAGAGCCATCCTCTTTGGAACCCCCTTTCAGGTAGTTGAAAACAGCTATCAAATCCCCCCTCATTCTTCTCTTCTGCAGGCTAAACAATCCCAGCTCCCTCAGCCTCTCCTCATAACTCATGTGTTCCAGTCCCCTAATCATTTTTGTTGCCCTTCGCTGGACTCTCTCCAATTTATCCACATCCTTCTTGAAGTGTGGGGCCCAAAACTGGACACAGTACTCCAGATGAGGCCTCACCAATGTCGAATAGAGGGGAACGATCACGTCCCTCGATCTGCTCGCTATGCCCCTACTTATACATCCCAAAATGCCATTGGCCTTCTTGGCAACAAGGGCACACTGCTGACTCATATCCAGCTTCTCGTCCACTGTCACCCCTAGGTCCTTTTCCGCAGAACTGCTGCCTAGCCATTCGGTCCCTAGTCTGTAGCTGTGCATTGGGTTCTTCCGTCCTAAGTGCAGGACCCTGCACTTATCCTTATTGAACCTCATCAGATTTCTTTTGGCCCAATCCTCCAATTTGTCTAGGTCTTTCTGTATCCTATCCCTCCCCTCCAGCGTATCTACCACTCCTCCCAGTTTAGTATCATCCGCAAATTTGCTGAGAGTGCAATCCACACCATCCTCCAGATCATTTATGAAGATATTGAACAAAACCGGCCCCAGGACTGACCCTTGGGGTACTCCACTTGATACCAGCTGCCAACTAGATATGGAGCCATTGATCACTACCCGTTGAGCCCTACAATCTAGCCAGCTTTCTACCCACCTTGTAGTGCATTCATCCAGCCCATACTTCCTTAACTTGCTGACAAGAATACTGTGGGAGACTGTGTCAAAAGCTTTGCTAAAGTCAAGAAACAATACATCCACTGCTTTCCCTTCATCCACAGAACCAGTAATCTCATCATAAAAGGCGATTAGATTAGTCAGGCATGACCTTCCCTTGGTGAATCCATCCATGATTCATACTGCTAACACCCAACAGAGATTCTCCTTGTGCTCAAGCACTGGGGCCTCCTGTGTTTCTGGAGCAGGCTCTGAGCTCCCTGCCTGTGAGGTTGGGAGGGGTCACAGTGAAATATGCCTCTCTGTCATCAGCGCCCGTGTCGACACTGCCCTCCTTTACCCCCATGCGGGCCTCCTGGCTGCAGTGGGGTTCTATGGGTGTGATGGAGATGAGGATTTGGCCCCCGGTATCAATATATGAAAGAGACAGATATTAAGTGACTGACGGGCCTGAGGCAACAGGTCCCAGGACTTGGGTCTCTTGGTCCTCCCCCCGAGTCCTAGGCTGGTCTCTCACTTGCCTGGAGCTGCACAGTGATGGGTTCCACGATCTTCAGGCTGCTCTTGTCAAAGGGGTCAAACAAGTCGTCCCTCATGATGTCTGGCTGCAGGACGTAACCACTGCGGGCTCCCAGCATGAACAAGGCCTGGTTCAACTGCATTGGTTTATCTGGAAGAAGCCCAAAGGCAGCAGCCAATCAGCATGCGGCAAGAGACAACAGGCTGTTCAAAGGGGCAAAAACCAATCCGCACTGAGAGAGAGACAACGGAGCGTTCAAAGGGGCACAAACCAATCCGCGCGCGGAGAAAGGGACAGAGGACTAATCCAAGTGGCAATGACCAATGAGCTGGGGGAGAAGCCCCTGTGGGGCCAGAGGCAACGTGGAGGCAGGACGTCTCTGTGCGGCGTGGAGGCATGTGGGCATTGTGCAGAAGGCCCTGCCCCCGGCAGTGCTGTTGGCTGGGAGAGCTAAACCCCCCACTTCTGTCACACAGAGGCAAACCCGTGCCTTGTGCCGTGATGGGAGACGGTGCCGGGATCTCCACAAACGGCACCTTGCAATGCGTACTCAGCCCTGCGTGGGAACCACCTGTATAGGGGACGGAACCCCTGGGGTTGCTGGCAATTGTGTCAGGTTGGCTCTTGGTCACGTGACTGCAGGGTCTTCCTTAGGGAAGCCATTCAGCTGCGGATTGTCTCCCCAGGGAAGGGAGGGGAGCCCCATTGCTCAGGACATTCAAAGCTAGCTGGGCAAAGCATCTCATGTTATGTGAAAGGGAGTGGATCTGTGTCTGAACTGCCCCGTGCCCATGGGTATGGGGTTGAAGAGTTACCGGGGGTCTGGAAGTTAAGGGCTACCAGCTGGCTGCCGCAGATCCACATGGGCAGCGGGTCATAGTTCGAGGAGTCCAGGCGTTGGCCCTTGGGGTAGACGCGACTGAGCTGGCGTCGGTTGTACTGCAGGAACTTCTTGCCCTTGCTGCGGTTTGCATACTTCTCGGCCTTGGTCTCGGGGAAGGAGGACATGTCCCGGTAGCAAGCCTTGTCTGTGCCGATCTCTGCAAGGACAATAGGCAGGGTCAGCGGGTGGCCACTGGAGGCCCTCGCTAGGGAGGCATCAGGGTGCTCTGGAGCCTGGCACATCAGTGATGCCCACTGAGGACAGTTGTTCTCTAGGCTGGCAGTCCCCACCGTGAACTTTCCTCTGCCTGAACTCAGGGCTCAGCCTCCGCATGGGGCCCACTGCCCACCTACCAGTGCACTTGCTATGGAGCTCGGCTGCTCTGAATCCTGGAGGGGAGATGGGTGGCTGGCTGGAGGGGCCGGGGCTGGGGCTGGGCAGTTCTGTTGGGAACCGGAGCTGGCCAGGATGGCCGTGGGCTCAGGCAGGGCCTGGAGGGAGCAGCTGTTTTTATGGGTAGGAAGGATCTTCCCAGGGCCTGTTTGATTCCCGTCAACACTGGCCACACCACTCGGAGAGCTCAGTCAGTGACGCAGCAGCAGCAGCTGGGGCCTTACTCTCTTCATCGAATGGCACCGGGCGGCAGTAAACGACCAGCTCGGAGAGCTCCAGGGCGATCTTTTTCCTCCGCTCCATGATCTTCCCCTCTTGCATCTGCGCAAGGAAAGGCAGGCGCTCAGGTCACTGCCGAGAACGCAGAGAGGCCACGAAACCTGAGCCACTGATACGCCCCGCACAAATGGACTGGCAGAGCCTGTCTGTGAGGGCTGGGCATTACATCCTCACCCGCGGCAAGGACGTTTCAGGGGAACCACCGAGTCCTGCAATGCAGCCCACGCGCACGCTCCCCTTCCAGACAGAGGTGCGCCCTCTGGAGACTACAGGTCCCAGCATTCTGTGCTCCATAAGGAACCATGCAGCCTTCCGCTGAGATTGCTTTGGAGGAATGCATGCTGGGAACTTTTTTTTCCCCAAGGACTGCACCTCCATATTCAGGATGATGGTAGCTACAACCTCTTCATTTAATGGATCCCTTCAATTGCCAGTGGGTCCCTGAATGGGCAAAGTCTGGGCATTACCCCTTAGCTTTAGTGCTCACTGCTCACTCAGACCCAAGCGGCAAGGTAAGCTAGAGCCTGAGGGAGTGGAGTTGCACCTCCCCCGGGCAGGGAGTGGGGAACGCTCTGCCTTCCTGGGCACCGTGGCACCCACCACAGGTGAGCCCCAGCCCCCACCGTTGTGAGACACATTGGACGTTCATTAGGGTCATTCTAATGGTGACAATGAACGCCATCGGCGCTCAAAGCGCACGGCTCCTCTCACTCACCCTGGCGTCTGCGTTCTGTGTGGCCTCCCGGATCTTGGCCACCCAGTCGTTGAGTTCCTCCTGTGTGTCTGCAGCCACGTCCAGCGCCTGGGACGGGTGGGACATCTGCTGGGAATGGATGGTGAAGACAAATGGTTTGGAGCTCCTCCCGTCTTTGGAGATAACTATAAGGATATCAGAGGGGGCTTTACTTGGAGAGATTCCCAATGGACAGCTCTGTGGAGCAAAGGACCCCTCCAGGGTCCTGCTCTCCAACCTGCTGCACACGGGGGGGAGAGGGGATCGGCTCCTTCCTCTGACGCATCATCACCTCGGGCAGAGCGTCAGAACTGAGCGTGAAACCTGGTCCTCTGTTGCCCTGTGCAGCCCTTGCCTACCCACGGCACTTGGGCCAGCTGTTTGAAGCAGGGTGTGATTCCTGACTCACCTCCTAGAGACGTCACTCACACCAGGGGAAACTGGGGGAGGAAAGAGGGCGAAAGGCTCTGAGCTTGACCTCCCCCTTATTCACATCAAGCCAAGAGAGACACGGGAGGCTCTGCATCTCATAGCCTGTCTCAGGAGGTCCTGAGGTCCCTCAATGTCCTCTGACTTTCGTGGGGCCGAGGATGCTCGGCATCCCCAGGACTGGGCCCTAAAGCTCGGACAGTTCTCCTGAGAGGGCCACAGCTCTGAGGCAGCTTGCTCGAATCTACCGCCGAGGAAAGGGAGGCAGCAGTGCAGGGATGGGAACGGGCTGGGCCTTCAGCTCAGGCCACTGTTAAGCTGTAGTAAAGGCCATTCAGCAAATCTGCCTCTGGGTTGGATTCAGCTCCCCACTAGGGCTTGCGGGTGCTCAGCACTGACCTCTCCTTGTGAGTCCCCTTCCTTCTAAGTCCCTTTGGCTACGGAGACCCTCAGATTTCTAGGACAAACGGGGGCCACGAGATAGCAGCTCCCTTGCAGGCCTTGGGCAGGGCCACAGCTGGGAGAGCCTCAGCCAGTCACACAAGAGCACAGGCTGGCAGCGAGCTCTTTCCCAGCAGTTCTGAAGTCACCGCCGACCGTCACAGAGATGCCTGCTACAAAGCTCTGGTGAGACAGGGACACTCCAGAGCCTGCTCCTTGGGGTGCAGTAAAGGCATTGCCGACCTCCCTTTGGTCACTTTACACGGTACTCCGCAGCCCCGCTCACAGGAAACCCCCCAGAACTCACTACACTGAGGGATCCAAGGTAGGAATCCAGCCAGCAGGAAACGGGTTTAGACCCACTAGACCTCATTTAATAATAATGATAATACCCAGATCCTATAGAAAATTCCACCCATCGCTCTCCATGCACTTTACAAAGGAGGTCAGTATCCCCATTGTACAGATGGGGAAACTGAGGCAAAGAGCAGGTGAACTGACTTGCCCAGGCCAGTTACAGAGCCAGGAATAGAACCCAGCTCTCCAGAGTTCCAGGCTGGTGCTCTATCCTCTAGACCACACTGCCTCCAGATGGGCAGTTGCAGGAATCACCCAGCCAGGTGCTCCAGGCAGGAGTAGCACCCATGCAGAAGGTGAATACTCCAAATGCTACTCCTTACAGCCCCTGTTAAAAGAGGCTTCTGTCTCCAGCAGTGTCTCATGGTTAAATAGCCTCCCCCTCCTCCCCCGAAACGATACATTCCAGAACCTCTCACTCCACGGGCGACAGTTACAGACACTCACCTACATGGCAGGACGGTACGTCAATGAACCCTTTCAGGAAGTTCCCCAGGGGGCTGTTTTCTGCTGACTGGAAGAGAGGAAGGGATGGGGCAGAGAAAGGCCAGTTACCAAGAGAAATACAGAGAGACAGACAGACCACTGCTTTCTGCTTTCAGGCCACAGTCTCTGCCTTTCTCCTGCTGTATTTGCAATACCGAGCAGAAGGGCTGGAAAGCAGTAGTCACTAAAATTATGGAGGCAGGAGAGTTTCTGATCTAACCTCTCGTCTGAGTTGCTCTGAAGAGTCAGCTTTCTGGACTGAGGTTTTCCAGGATGGATCCCTAGACCCTGCCTAAGTTGGAGCAAAATCATTGCAGCTGTTTTTGAGGAAAGCAAAGGTGGGGAAATCCACTTCTCCTATTTATCAACCAGGTTTTAAACAGGGCTCTATTGGACAGATGGAGAGAGACACCAAGGCGGGAGAGGAATCATTTAGGACAGGGGCGGGCAAACTTTGTTTGAGGGCCACATCGGGTTTCCAAAATTGTATGGAGGGCTGGTTAGGGGAAGCTGTGCCTCCCCAAACAGCCAGGCATGGCCTGGCGCCCGCCCCCTCTCCGACCCCCCCTGCTTCTCGCCCCCTGACGGCCCCCCTGGGACTCCTGCCCCATCCACCCCTCCCTGTCCCCTGACTGCCCCCCACCGCCCCATCCAACACCCCTTCTCTTTCCCGACTGCCCCCCCAGGACCCCTGCCCCCATTCAACTCCCCTGTTCCCTGCCCTCTGACCGCCCCAATCCCTATCCACACCCCCGCCCCCTGACCACCACTCCGAACTCCCCTGCCCCCTGTCCAATCCCCCCCTGCCCCTGCTACAGCCACGCCACCCAGAACACCAGGACAGGCAGCCGTGCTGCCCGGCTGGAGCCAGCCACTCCACCATGCAGCACAGAGCACGGGGTGAGGCCGCGGTTCTGCAGCTGCGCTGCCTGGCAAGAGCTCGCAGCCTCACCGCCCAGAGCACTGTGCTAACAGTGCAGTGAGCTGAGGCTGCGGGGGAGGGGGAACAGCAGGGGAGGGGCCGGGGACTAGCCTCCTGGGCCAGGAGCTCAGGGGCTGGGCAGGAGGATCCCAGGGGGCATAGTTTGCCCATCTCTGAATTAGGGGGTTGTAGTTTGGAGCGGTGAGATGAACTTCAGAAGGACAGAAGGCTGCTGGGATGGAGCACTGCACGCTGGGAGCTGTAGTTTCCTTGGGCCCCTACTTGACACTAAAGGTGAGGGTGGTTAGGATTCTCAGCACCACTTGAGCTCCAGGGAAGTTGGCAACCGGGCCAGGTTTGGTGCCCCTGGCTTATTAGCAACAGGGGCGGCCTATTAGTTCTACTTGCTCACCCCCACAAAATTGACCCCTTGGTGTCCGGGACAGCCGAGCGGGTCCCTCAGATTGTGCTGGAAGGTGGGGAAAGGAGCCAGCGTGGGGGTTAAACTCACAGACTCGTCCTGCTCCTGCACCAGTGTGTTCATGATCTCCTCCACGTAGTTGGCTGGGAACCACAGCTGCTTCTTGCCCCCGTAGTCTCCCCGCCACCTAGAAGGGGTAACAGGAACAAGGCAAGCAGACTGACTCAGGGGTACTAGGGATGTGAACACTGCACGCAATGTCAGGGGAACAGCTGGAACAGGGAAACAGAAAAGGAGCCATTAAAAAACGTCTCAGCAACACGCACAAGGCATGCAATTCTTGTAATAGGAGCACAGTCGAAGCCGGGGTGATGTCTGCTGAGCTCCACTCTGCAAGAAGCCTGGGGCATAGACCAGGGCACAGAGAATCGCTGGAGGGTTTGGTTCCCTGGTAACTAGCCAGGTGTCCCATGGTTAGAGCAGGGACGTGGGAGTCAGGATTCCCGGGTTCCATTGCTGGTTCTGCTGGCGTGTCCTGGGCAAGTCATTGCCCCTGACTGCCTCACTTCTGCCATCTGCTATGACCTCTACCCAGGGCTGAGTCTTAACGAGCATTTAGGAGGGGCCAGAGAAGGGCAGAGATGTAACATGAGCGTGCGCTCTCGGGGCTGCCCTACACTACACAGGTAGGTCGGCTTAACTCCATCACTCCAGGCGGTGGAAAACGTCACGCTCTGGGCGGTGTAATGAGGCCGACCGAAGCCCCAGCGCTGACACCAGCTGGCGATGGAAGGATTCTTCTCCCGACCTAGCTACGGCCTCTCGGAATGGGGGATTAACGACAGCCGTGGAAGAGCCCCTCCCATCGCTGGAGCAAGTCTCTGCACTGCAGCTGTGCTGCTGCAGCCCTTCTAGTGTGGACACAATCAGTCTCACGCTGAATCAGCACTTGCTGTGTCACGGGTGATGGGCCCGTGCAGCTGAAGCCCCAGGCTGGCCTCCCCTGGACCACCCTCCGCAGGGTGGCTCAGGGGACTGATCAGCCTGGAGCACGGCCCGTTAGCGTTTGTGCCAGTGGGGAGCGAAGAACCTAGAGGAGCTCGTTCCCGGCGAGGGCAGTGTAGCTCCACCACAAGATGTTCACAGCAGGCAGATGGTAGAGCTGCGCCTGGCTGGGCGGAGCACTGGGCATGTCAGGGATCAGGCGTCCCATCAGATGTCCGGACTGTAAGTGAGGAAGAAGGATTCCACCTTGCTGGTGGAGAGCATCTGGGGCCGCTCGTGGTATGTGGGGATGCACGACTGGTGTCCCTTCAGCTCTGGTAAAAGAACCCCTCCTCGGGGCCCAGCCCCTCAGGCCAGGATGCAGATGGCCCCCGTGAGAAAAAGGGGGATCTCTCAACAGGCCCCCAATGTCAGTAATTTGGGTGGTGAGCTAGCCGGGACTGAGCCAGCAAGGAGATTCCTCTGCTCGTGAGCAGCTGGGTAAGTCCTTGTGAAAGGAGCGTCTCCTGAGAGCAATCAGACAAAGCGACATCAGACACCTTGGGTTATCCTGAGCCGTAGCCTTTTTTCTTGACTCCACCACACCCTGGCCCCACCGCAATCTGATAAGGACGCCCTTTCTAGCCAGGGGACCCCTCCTCCAGGACAACTGGGCAATGTCAGGAGAGGAGTGGACCCCTGACCAGACATTTTGAAAGCGGCGACCGAGAGGGAGAACTCACCAGCCTCCATCCTGCTTGTCAACGTTGTGGATGATGGCCTGTTTGCAGAATGAGAGCTCATCTTCCCGCTGGGCTTTGTAATCGTAGAGGGCCTTCACCGTACACTGGGGAGCAGAGCAGAGACATGCTAGCCTTAGCAGCTATGACGCCAGCATTCCTGGGGAGGGAATGCTCCAGAAAAAAAACTGCAAAGGAATATAAAGTAGCTCCCCAGGCCTTGATCTCAGGTAACCGAGGACTCTCTCTATATATATATCATGTGTTGATAAACAGTTTAGATGGGTGATAATGCAGCTGGAAGCAGCCATATTGTCAACCCAATCCCCTGTGTCCAGACAGAAGCATCAGTGCAGATTTCCACAGATCTCCTAGGGGCAAGTCAAAGGTTTTTCCACCGTCTCTGCAGACAGGTTTGGGGGAAGAGAAGGACAAAGCTTGAGTGTGGGCAGAGTGGGTGCCTGTTGCTGGAGCTTCGAGAGTCTCTGCCAGCCGTTCTGACAGCATGACTGCCGTGGTACAGGTCAGCGGGCCTTGCTCCTTGTTGGGATAATCATCAAGGGCCTGACTTGCCACAGTTCCCATTAGGACTGCATAGGGAGTATGGGAGGCAGATTCAGGCCTTAAGGAGGCAGCCGCTCTGGCTTACAGAGCTGCCAACAGAGCAGGGGAGATTCTGGAACATCTCCAGGTCTTCTTACTTAGCTCCATGCAGTCTCCTGGTCTAATGCACAGACTGTGAGTAACTGCCATTTCCTGCAACCATCTACGGCAGCAGGCAAGTCCGATTCCTTTTCAAGGTTGCCAGACGGTTTTGATTATAACCAGAAAACAGCTCCCTTTGGGCTAATGTGTCCCGTGTTTGGTCTCGGCCCAAGGGTTCACTTGTTGGGAGGGGAAGTTTAAGGTGCAGTGGTGCCCTGAAAAGTGATTTGATAAGTGCCCCCTGGGGGCTCCCATGTTTATTCTCTCACTGACATCAGATCCGGCCCGTGCTGCTGATAAATAAAGAGCTGGTTTTTTCTAGCTACTAGTGCTGAAAACACTGCCTGGGATCTGAGAGTCACGCTGGGTCATTCTGGTCCCTGCATCACCAACTAAAGAGTCTGCCGTCGGAGCTCAGCTGCTGTAACCGTTCTGAGGGGAGCTGGAAGAGACCCTGCTCTCGCGCTCCCAGCCAGGCCAGCTCTGCAGGGCTCACCGACGGAGAAGGGATTCAACATATGTCTTTCAAGGGAACGCTGAGAGTCTGGCACTTGGGTCGGCAGCCAGGGGTGGATGCCACAGGCAAAACATGATGGGATATGCAGGCTGCAGTTCCCAGGGTGGCTGGCTGACTGCTGGGGGTCCCGGGCACTTCTTGAACTGGCAGCAAGTCGGAACAAAGTATCACCCAGTTCCCAGGCAGCACGTGAATCCCTCTCCCCCTCCTCCCACTCCTCCCTGTGCCACGCAGACCTGGGGGGAGTCTCCGGCCCATGCTCTCTTACCCTGGCCATTGGCATCTTGTTGGCCTCCACGTAGAAGTGAGGGGTTCGCACTTCATACAGGGCTCCATAGTCCAGCTCCTGCAAAGGACAGGCAGCAGCGGTAACATGGGAGGCAAGCCCACAGCTTCCCCCCTTCCCCCTCTCCTGGGGGGCAGTTCGAGGAACAGAGGAAGGGACCTGTGTGCATCCTCACTAGAAAAGGGGAGATTTGAATAGAGAGTTCCTTAATGGAGCTAGACGGTCGGCTGGGAGCTCCTCCTGTCATGGGATAGGGGCATTTCCTTTTGTACCCCTGGCCTATGTCAGGCGACTGGGGTCATAGAAACACAACCTCCCCAGTGCGGATACAGTATCATAGAATATCAGGGTTGGAAGGGACCTCAGGAGGTCATCTAGTCCAACCCCCTGCTCAAAGCAGGACCAATCCCCAATTTTTGCCCCAGGTCCCTAAATGGCCCCCTCAAGGATTGAACTCACAACCCGGGTCAGTACAGAAATATCTGTCTCTTGCCCACTCTCCTGTGTGTCACACCTTGATTACAACCTCCAAGGGCAGCGTGACCCCTAGGATCGAGCCAGAGCCCTGCATGCTGGGACATGTAGTCCGCACTTGCTGCACCTCTGCATAAGGATTAGAGCACTGGCAATCTGATTAGCCGCTCCCTGGGACTCCGGGCAACTCGCCAATGCACCCCCTGAGCAAAGTTTAGGGACCCCACATGCAGCCATGTTCAGCTTTTCCAAGATTCTGTGGGGCGGCCATAAAGCCCCCTCATATTCACTACACTGCCCAGCTGCATTGTCCCTCTTCCCCTGTACCCTGGTGCCCTGCCATTCTCATGGCAATGCTCCCCGATGCCCTCAATGGGGCTCCCCTGCCCCCCAGGACTCACGGCGGTGCCCATCTTCTCCAGCGTCTCCTCATTGATGGGGTAGCGGAGTTTCATCTTGCGGTAGAGCGGGTGCTTCTCGTAGTAGCTCACCAGATCCACCAGGCTCTCGAACTCGGCGGAGCTGCCCAGCATGAAGAGCCGTCCCTCCTGCTGGATGCGGCAATGCTTGATCTTGCCCTCTGCTCTGTTACCAACACACCCCAAAGGGCACGTGAGGAGGGGCTGGGCAGGGAGGTGGAGGAGGGGGGACATGCCTTCTGTTTTTACAAACTGCAGAGGGGAATCATTTCACCCACCCTGAAATGCAGCCACCTCTGGGGTGGACAGCAGGAATTGGGGAACAGCGCACAGCACAAGATGGCACGACTGCCTCCTAGCAGCACGCTGTGTCATCAGTCAGTACTGAGTCCGAGTGAGCAGCAGCCCCAGCACACCGGGTATGTCTACCCTGCAGTTGGACACACATGGCTGGCCCGTGCCAGCTGACTCGGGTGGGCAGGGCTGTTTAATTGCAGCATAGATGTTTGGGCTTGGGTTGGCACCCTGCGAGGTGGGAGGGTCCCAGAGCTCAGGCTCCAGCCCGAGACAGAATGTCTACACTGCAATTAACAGCGCCTTAGCCTGAGCCCTCCGAGCCCAAGTCAGCTGGCAGGGGTTAGCCGTGGGTGTCTAACTGCAGTGTAGACTAACTCAGCCAGTCCTGAGGGAAGGGAAGAGGACCTCTAGTGACTCATCAATGCAACTTCCTGCAGCAGCAGCTTTCCTTGAAGGTCCCCGTCCTGGAACCCATCCAACCCAATTGTGTTCAGCTAATGAGACTGGAGAAAATCGTGTGCAAGCACATGGCAGAGCATGGGATTTGGAGGAGAGATGGCAACGGCTGAACGCTGTAGCCTTTGACTCCAGTGGGTTACAAGAGAAACAAGTCTGCTGCTTCTCAGCTCAGGCCCCAGTGATGGGTTTGGCCGACTTGCCAGCTAGACCCTAGGCAGCTCGCACTCACCTGAAGGAGATAGCATAGGAATTGGGCTCGCTGCGTTTGCGCAGCAGGAAGGCTCCGTCCCGGGGCACCCTCATCAGCATATGCTCGGCCTGCAGGCGGGACAGGCTGGTGTGGTACCACCTGGGTCAGGAAAGAACACACAGCAGGATCAATGCATCATCTGTACCCTGTGCCATGGCATTGACTCAGCAAGTGAGAGAGGAGCTGACTCCTTTCAATCTCCTAGAATGAGTCCATGTGCAGTGAACATGGGAATCCAGTTCTGGTTCTCCACCCTTCAGGGGTCCCAGGGACACGTCTGATCTCTTACCTGTATTAATGCACTGGCTGAGTGTCTAGCTGTGAGATCTGCTCACATATGTGTATCTATTGCACTTGGAATCAGGTCTGCTCAAATGTGCAGCTGCACGCCCATGGAGGTGTGAATCAGAGCTGGGCGACCACTAGGAATTGTGCTGCCTTGTAGTGCCCCCAGCCTGGGAAGAGGGTAAAAGCTTTATTCCCCAAGCCTCTGGCAATCTCCTGCTGGCTGGAGCGGCAGCCGTCTGTGTTTTGGGACTCCCCATACTGCCCATGTGCTGTTCTGCCGGCGATCATAGTCTTGGCTATATGTGGCCTGAGATTATTTACACATGAAACCCCTGCTCCCCTTTGGTATCCCCAGGGAATGAGCCGGCTGAGGGTACATCTGGTTCCCTGGGGCCAGCGGGGGTCGCTTCCTCTACAAAAAAACGGCCATGGCTGGGGATATAGGGCTTCCCCCTTTCAGGCTCCTGCCCCAGAGCTTGATGTGGTGTCTCACTGACACCCCATAACAGAATAGTTCTACTGGCCACAGCGCCTCGGTCGAAGAGGAAGTGCAGCCCCAGTGACACCTCATCTCCGGCAGGGGGTGCTGGATCCGGGCCGGACGGGTCAGCAGAGGGTGCTCGCTGGGGAAGAGGGGAGAGAAGCGAGGCGAAGAGGAGAGAGGCGCTGTGTGTAGAAGACCGAGGGCTGGAAGGACAGGGAGAGGCAAGCGGAACAAGGAGGGGAGAGGGGGAAGGGAGGAGAGGTGATGCGCTCACTCTTTGCTCTCGTGGGCGTTCGGCTGCGGCACGGGGTCCGTGAGCCTCATCTCAAACTCGTTGCACCGCAGCGGCACCTCGCGGTAGTGGCAGATCAGGCTGTAGAGGCTGTCGAACACCAGGTTGTCCGTCAAGTAGAACTTGGTGGTGCCGGCTTCCTGCCGGGAGTGGATGCGGCAGTGCTGGACTCGGCTGGACCGCCTGCAGCGGAGACAAAAAAGGGATCGGCAGGGGCAGGACCAAGAGCAAACCGTGTCTCCCAGCTGCTGCCCAAACCAGGCGCACAGTGGATGGCGGGGAAGGTCAACCCGCTGCACTAGTCCTGGGGGGGGAGCGGGGGCAGGAGATGACTGGACAGCAAGGAAACATCCCGAGTCACAATGCAGGGTTTGGATCGAGCCTCCCAACATTTGGGGGGTTGGATCTGGGCTTCGGTCGGCCCGGTACAGAGACAGCAGCCAGCCAGCCGGGCGACCCATACAGGGATGTTGGAGCAATACATTGGGTTAGACGAGGAGTGGGCAAACTTTTTGGCCTGAGGGCCACATCAGGGTGTGAAACTGTATGGAGGGCCGGGTAGGGAAGGCTGTGCCTCCCCAAACAGCCTAGCCCCCATCCCCTATCTGCCCCCTCCCACTTCCTGCCCCGACTGCCCCCTCAGAACCCCTGACCCATCCAACCCCTCTGCTCTTGTCCCCTGACCACCCCCTGGGGCCAAACCGCCCCACCCGGGAGCCCACCCCCATCCAACCCCCCCGCTCCCTGTCCCCTGACTGCCCCAACCCCTATCCACACCCCTGCCCCGTGACAGGCCCCCCGGGATTCCCACACCTATCCAACTGGCCCCTGCTCCCTATCCCCTAACTGCCCACCCCGGGACCCCTCCACCCCCTTACCATGCAGCTCAGAGCAGCAGGAGCTCGCAGCCCTGCTGCCCGGCTGGAGCCAGATGCACTGCCTGCGTGGCGGTGTGACTGTGGGGGTGGGGAAACAGTAAGGGAGAGGCCGGGGGCTAGCCTTCCCGGCCTGGAGCTCAAGGGCCGGGCAGGATGGTCCCGCGGGCTGGATGTGGCCCGTGGGCCAAAGTTTGCCCACCTCTGGCTTAGACAGTGTGACCATGTTGCCCCCTAGTAGCTGGTGTCCACAACTAACCCAGCTGGCCGCTCACAGCTCATGGTGCTATTTTAAATCCAACAGCGGCAGGGGCGTGTGGTTTGGCCCTTTGCTCCTGGATGATGCATGTGGGAGCTGTAGGTATATGGCTGTGGTTTTTTACATTAGCTCAGAGCTTTGGGTCAGGCCCACCTCTCCCTCACTGGAGCTCTCCCACGTGGAATCTATAAAGGCCAGATCCCGAGGTCCTAACTCAGGCAAGAGCCTCTCTGAAGTCAATGGGACTGCGGTCTGTGATCCTGAGCCGCACTGGGGCGCCATCACCATGCCCCGAGAAGCACCGATCATCAGCCATCGCAGTGCTGGGGAATGATGTTGTGGACAGGCCTGAGAACCGCAGCCCTTGGTAGAGCCACAGAACTGGGAGAGCAGCAGGGCAAGCATCCCCTCCCTGACCCCGACCCTGACAGGCTGCCTCTGGGGAGCCCAGCCTCCGGGATCTATTCAGGTCTCGGCCTCGCTGCTAGGCTGCCAACGAGGGAGAGGATCAACGCCCCTTCTGGTGGCTCCCGAGACTAGTCCAGTAGGAACTGGCCCGAGGCCCACCAGCTTGTCATCAGATGGTAGCAGCTTTCCACCGCTACCACCTCGGACTGGAGGGAAACCGAGTCCCCGATGTGAGGGGATAACTGGTGCCGGAGGCAGAGGGGATCCTGTGCCCCGGTACGGAGGTCGCCGCAGGAGGCTCCTACCAGAAGGAGAGGGTGTAGTCTCCCACAAAGGTCTCGCTCTCCCGCACCAGGAAGGTGCCGTCTTTCCCACCCGTCTCGGTGCAGTACTCATGCAGCAGCTTCTCGGCGATCTGGCGCCCGTCACGCCCCCCGCCCAGCTTCCCGTGAAACCACTTCTCGCTGAAGTGCAGCTCGTTGTTGTTAAACTCCTGAAGAGGCGCAGAGCCCGAGGACGAGACGGGCGGGGCGGGGAGAGACCAGAGAAATCCAGGGGAGAGAGACAGAAGGAAAGAGAGAGAGTGGGTTTGGTGTCATGTCCTTAATCATTTTGGCCACCTCTGGGGTGGAGCACAGCAGCAGTCTAACAGCGCACAGCAATGCTGCCCAACCGTTTAGGGCAGGTAGTAAAGGTTCTCATGTCCCACTGAACCGCCTGGAGATCTAGTCGGCAAAAGTTAATAGCCCCAACCAGAATCTGAGCAGGACCCTGAGGTTAATACTCTGCCGTGTGAAAAGTGCAGTGGGATATTTAATGGCCAGAAGTAGTCAGGACCTTGGTTCTGCATCTCTTACAAAAACACACACCTGTGCCCCTAACACCATGGGTTTAGCACGATCGGGGAAGGGCACCCCTCTGCTAAGTAACTAATACTAGCACCTGGGCTTTTCTTGGCCAGTTTCTCTCCAAGCATTGACCTGGTCTAACCCTCCTTAGCCGGTGAGCTGGGGCAGAAGCACAACCCAAAGGGGTACATGCAGCTGCAGGTACTTGGGTGGCTCTGTAGGTGAATCCTGAAGGTGGCTGAAGCACTGTCTTCCCCCCAGTCTCCACCTTTCCTCCTCACAAACACACCTCTTTTTGTTCCACCTCTTCCTCATCCTCGTTGGACTGGTAGCGGGACGTCTCCTCGGAGTAATAGATCTTGTTGCTTGTCAGCACAAAGTAATGTGGGCTCCAGGTCTGCCAAGGAGAAAGAAGCATCAGAACCAGGCAGCAAGGAAGCCAGGGAATGGGTACAGGGCAGGGAGGTGTCCAAGGAAGTCAGCATCTGCCAGAGATCACAGCTGCTTGCATTGCAGGCATGTGAGTTCACCCCATGCTGCTTGCTGATGCCCCTGTAACACACTGCCAGAACATGTGTTGTGTTTCCACTCCATTGAGTAGTCCACTAGAGGATACCAGCCTATTACTGCTACTGGGTAATGGAGTCACTCCTTTAGCTTACATGGTGGAGGTCTGTGATGAAGATCCAGGATTCAAGACCTTGGAGGGGACGGGACTGTGACACCTCCTTCCCCACAGCTGGAATCCAAGCAGTGGTATTCCAGCCTGCCCCATGAGGTCCAGTTCCTGGTTCCACGTGCAGTCTATAGACCAGGGGTCAGCAACCTTTCAGAAGTGGTGTGCCGAGTCTTCACTGATTCACTTTAATTTAAGGTTTCGCATGCTAGTCATACATTTTAACGTTTTTTAGGTCTCTCTATAAGTCTACATATTATATAACTAAACTATTGTCGTATGTAAAGTAAACAAGGTTTTCAAAATGTTTAAGAAGCTTCATTTAAATTAAATTAAAATGCTGATCTTACACCGCCGGCCCGCTCAGCCCGCTGCCAGCCTGGGGTTCCGTTCACCTTGTCCAGCAGCAGGCTGAGCGGGAACTGTTGCCGGGACCCCGGCTGGCAAGGGGCCAGCAGCCAGAAGCCCAGACCGGCAGGGGGCTGAGCGGGGCTGGTGGCTGGGGCCCCAGACCAGCAGTGGGCTGTGTGGCTCAGCCCGTTGCCACTCTGCCCGCTGCCGGTCTGGGGTTCCGTTTGCCGGCCCCGCTCAGCCTGGGTCCCGGCTGACAACCTCGCTCAGCCTGCTGCCGATCTGGGATCCCAGCCCTGCCCACACAGAGTGGGTACCTACCTTCTCCCTGGTTCTAGCCCATTCTCGTCCTCTATCTCTGCATTGAGCTGAGAGTGGGAGTGCACTGAGCACAGGGCTGGGGGTGAAGGAGCAGGCTGAGGGTTGGGGTGTACAGTCTGGCCATGAGCTAGAATGAGGGAGGGGGCTCAGGGTTGGGGCAGGAGGTTTGGGTGTGGAGTGCTTACCTGGGCAGCTCCCATTTGGTGCACGGGTGCAGGTGGGAATGGGGGGGGGTGCAGGAGGCAGGGCAGGGGGCTGGGGGTATTTGAGGAGGGTGCAGGAGTCAGGGCAGAGGGCTGGGGACATGTGAGCGGGGTGCAGGAGTCAGGGCATGGGGGGGCTGGATATGTGTTGGGGGTGCTGGAGTCAGGGCTGGGGTCGTGGGGGGATGCAGGGGTCAGGGCAGAGGGCTGGGTGTGTGGGCTAGGGTCGTGGGGGTGCTCCCAGCCCCCTGCCCAGAGTGGCTCACGGCAGGGGGCTGGAGGGGTTAGGCCCTGATTCCACCCCCCTTCCCCACCTCTTCTCCGCCTCCTCCCCAGAGCAGCAAGCATGCTGCGGCTCCACTTCTTCTCCTCCCGCTCAAGGGCCATCAGCTGATCGGCAGCAGGGAGGGAGAGGAGGAGGGGCAGGAACCCAGCACGCTGGGGGAAGAGGCAGGGGAGGGGGAACTTGCCTGCCCTGCAGCAGCAGCCGGCAGGACCAAGCTTCTTCACCCTGCCCCCGCGGGGGGGCCCAGAAGAGTGGGCCGGGGCGGGCAGGATTTTTCATGGCACGCTGCTGCCTGCCAGGGTCCTGGCCTGGGTTCAACAGCGGGGTGAGCGGGGCCGGCAGCTGGGACCTGGCAGGCAGCAGCGTGCCATTAAAAATCAGCTCGCGTGCCGTCTTTGGCACGTGTGCCATAGGTTGCCGACCCCTCCTATAGATCCTTCCCTCTCCCACATGCTGTGGCTGTTAGTTCTGGAAAGACAGACCAAAGCCTGGGCGAGGCTCTTACATGGTCAATGGGGTCCTCAAGATACAGGATGCCGTTCTTGATGGAGTTGCTGATGTCATTCTCCGAGTAACTGGCCGTGGAGACCTCTTCATAAAGGTTCCCTTCCACCAGCTTCTTGTGCTAGGGAGCGGGAGAGCAAACCAGAGAGAGGAGAACTCACACAGTTAGCCTCACCCTTGCCCTGTGCTACCAGCACCCGAGCCTATGCCCTGTCTGCCAGGTGGATGTGTAACATCGCTCAGTTGGGGCAGTGAAACGACTGGTCAGTTTCACTTCCTGTTTACAACTGGTTTCACTTCCTGGTTCTCCTCCTGCAATACTGCTGTTTGGGTTCAGGGTCCCGCAGGGAAAGGAGTCCGTTCTGGGAGCAAACATGACTTAAATGACTGTGAGTGGCCAGGACCTGTGGTTAGGTTTCATCTGGCAGAGAGATTCCCATCTTTGTACTTCAGAGCTGGAGGCGGAGAAAGCTCATCCCAGTATGTTCCTGTAACCCCCAAACTATAGGGCTCTCCCACTGTCCTAGCTACCCCTGCCTCTCCCAGTGCAAGGATGCTGTATACAGTTCTTGTACTGCCCCCCCTCTGGACAGTATCAGAGAAGGGCTGGGGGAAGGGGAAGAGGACTGGCCCTAAGGGCTGCACCTTGATGAGGATTTTCTTCTTGAGCTGGGTGGGGGAAGGCAACTCATCGGCGTTGATGTCCACTGGCTTGGTGAGCAGCATTTCCCCAAAGACCTTCTTGAAGTGGGAGGCCATGTTCCTCTGCTGGACAATGCTGCAGTGGTCCTCGATGGAGAGGATGATGGGGAACCTGGTGCGGGGGAAGGGGGGAGAGGAAAGGCCAGATCATTCAGAATAGCAACCAAGGAAAGGCTCCAGATCACGTACCTGCTCCTAGTGTAGCCAGGGGCAAAACTAATGAGGGTAGGGCCCCAAAAGGGCTAACAGGAACTCAGAGATCCACGGGACAATCTGGTGGAGCCCTTGGTGCAGGGAAAGCTGGATTTAGGGCAGAACCCTTGGAGCCAGGGAACACTCTCAGTAAATCAGGGTGTGACACACTCAACCTTGGAGTGTTCTGCAGGGAATGTATCCACGCCTTGGAATGGGCAGTGCGGCAGAGAACGCACCCAGACCCAGCAACAGGTTCTCACAATAAATACAGAACCAGTGAGTGCTGTCCAGGATAAACAGGGACTATCTGGCCGCCACACATGGTTAAACAGGTTTCACTCAATAGTTACAAACTGGCTTAAGCCCCGAAGCAGGAGGTTTCCCCAGTCATTACCATTAACTATGAGAACTCTGGATATTCTTGTTATCCACATAAATGTCCAATCCTTTTTGTGAATCCTGCTAAGTTCTAGGTCTCAATGGCTTCCTGTGGCCATGAGTTCCACAGTCCCATTACATGCTGTGACAAGATACATGCCCTTTAGCAGTCCCTAAGCAGCAAAGAGGTGACAAAGCCCCTGTAGTGCAGTGGGGTGGCCCTTACTCAGAGGTCACGAAGGCATGTTCCTTGATGGTGTGCAGGACATCCAGGAATTTTATTTTGGAGGTGAGTGTGTGTCCATGGTAGATGATTGGCAGGTCATCTGGACCATCCCAACAGTCCACTAAGGGCAGAGATGGTTGAGTTGTTAACACTCCCCCCACACGCGTGATCATTTATCCCTGTACCCCACACACGTTCCTGAGGGACCATGTCCTAGCGTCCGTCCTTTCCTGAACAGAGTGGAATGGACAGGACCACCCCTAGAGCCCATGGCCACTGCACGTCCATTGGTCCCAAGTGTCACTCTGGAGCTGTGCAAACTTCATTGTCGTGCCAGAAGTCACGCACTTCAGGGGTGGACAAAGGGGTGTAAAAGACACTGGTGTTCACCTCTGAGATGCCAGATAACAGCACATGCTGTTACCTCAGTTAGCAGGGTCAAATGGGACTGAGCTAGTGAAAGACGCTGTGGGGCTGGGTGAGGGTCTGCCTGCCATTGATATGATATGATATTGCACGGGTTCACCAGGTGGATTGAACGATCCTCAGCTGAGGTCCCATTGGGTCCCATTGGGTCCTGCATAGCACAGGCCAGAGAACCTCCACTGGGGATTCCTGAATCTGGTGGATTTTAAATTTCTCCCCAGGTTGCCCCAGAGGACAATGATCCAAGCAAAACATCTCATGTTCCAGGGCACCGGAAGGATCCCAGTACGATTCACCAACTAAGAATTGCTGTAGGCACATCTGGGGTGAGACGGGGCAGCTGTTTGATAATTCGCTGCAGACCTACACTGAAGTGTAAGACAGAAAAGTGGGGGCAATTTAAAGGAACTACCCATCACAGCATGTGGCCAAGGCACTGGGCTCAGCCCCCTACATTTGTGCCAAGTGCCGAGGGGGTTTTGTGGCTGGGGAGTGGTCAGGAACACGGTTTTAGAGATCCCCCAAAGGATGCTGACTCCAATATGGACTTGTGGGGGCAGGGGTGGCATCACCAGTACCATTTCCTGCTGCGCCCCCCTGGGGTCCCCCACCCAGTCACTGAGCGGTACTCATGCTGCTCAGCTTATGCAGTTGGACTAGCTCACAGGCGCTGAGAGCAGCCCAGCCCCCGGCAGGGACCAGCTCACTCACACTCTATGCAGCGGCAGCCCATCCGGAGGCAGCGAGCGTAGGCTTCCAGCGAGGACTCACTGGAGAACTGGTCCCCAGTCAGATACCTGCAAGGAGAAGAAGAGGGCCTCGGAATCACCAGCAGCGCCTGGAGGAGGGCCTGGGGGTGGGCCTGGGCGGCCTGGAGGAAGAGGTTCAGCTGCAAATCATGTGGCTCCCAGTCCATCCAACCGCGTGCCAGGGGAGCTGCCTGGCAGGGCCTGAGCTGCGGAGCTGTTTCGGGGGCACCTCGCTCTGAACCCAGGGCCTGGATCCCATCAGATGTCAGTGTCGGCTGTCCCATGGAACCCCACTCCTGCCAGTGCTGACTAAGCTCGGGAGACCCAGCGGAGGTCGAAAGCCTCAGGGCCAGATCCCCAGCTGGTGTAAATGGGCAGAGCTCCATTGGAGTCAATGGGCCAGATCCCCAGCTGGTGTAAATGGGTGTAGCTCCATTGAAGTCAATGGGCCAGATCCCCAGCTGGTGTAAATGGGTGTAGCTCCATTGAAGTCAATGGGCCAGATCCTCAGCTGGTGTAAATCAGCAGAGCTCCATTGGCATCAATGGGCCAGATCCCCAGCTGGTGTAAATGGGCAGAGCTTCAGTGTGCCAGATCCCCAGCCGGTATAAATGGGCAAAGCTCTGTTGAAGCCCATGGAGTTATGCTGGTTGATACCAGGCGAGACTCTGGCCCATGTTTTCCAGTACCTGCTTACAAGGAAATGTCCAGGAATCCCATGTCCCGCATGGACAGGGAAGTGGAGCAATCCCTGCAGAATTCCCAGGGGAGGCTAAAGAGAAATCCTCCCCCTCCTTGTTCACTATTACATGCATGCCAGAGCCCTTCTGGAGCTCAAACATCAGACTGGTGGCTCCCCAACGTCTGCAGAATGGCTCCTAGGGCTGCGGTGGGAGGCACCCGTTCAGCTCAGAATCCAACAGGTTGTGCCGCTTTATCTTCGCCCCACTGCGCTGGGGGCCCTTCGTCGGTGGGCTGACCCCAAGCTCTTACGTGTTGTGGGAGGAGGAGATCCAGTAGTGGGACAGCGGGTAGTTCATCTCCTCTGGGACCACCCGCTCGTACTTGGCATCCATGACCTTGTTTTCCCTGGAGAACAGGTAGGTCAGAAACTGAGGACAGAAGAAAAGCTGGTTAGAGCAAAACCAGGAGGGTCAGGCTCCAGGACACCGTGGGTCACCCCAGGCCAAGGGGAGAGATGGGCATGGGGCCAAAGCTCTAACAGGAATGGGGAAAGGGAGAGAAGTTGGTGGAGAAGAGCTGCCAGCAGCAGAGGGCGAGCTGGGGAACACGGTCCAGTGACTACAGCTAGAGATGGGCTTCCGATGCAGGGTCTGGAATGTGGACTTCTCCAAAATGTGGGGGGGGAGGGATTCACTCTTTCAGTACAACTGGCCTGTCTAAATACGTGTAGTGCAATCACCTGGGGAATTCACTGCTGCACCGGCACACAGTCACTTGCTGGAGGTGGATTTGGTGGCCAATAATAAATCTGTAGCTATGCCCCTTAGACAAGGATAATTAAAACCTCATGCTTCAGGGCACAAGGAGATCACCTGGAAGGGTCAGGAAGGAATATCAATCCCCAGATGTGCAGCACTGTACATGAGCCAGATGGGTGGTTTATTGCCTCCTTTTAAGCCTCAGGCATTGGTCATTGATGGAGGCTGGGATAGCAGTCTATAAGCCCCCTTGGTCTGATCTGGCATGGCCCATCCTGACCTCCAGTCTGAAGTGTACATTGTCTGTTATAAATACACCTACATCCATGTGAACCAATTCCACAAACCCTGTAACTAATTTAGGGACTTTATCTGCCTCAGGTGGGAGTCTGAGCTCCGCTGGGGGGCGCTGGAGTTGCCAAGGGGATGGCTGATGCAGGAGGATGGGCTGGAGTACATATTCCCTACCTCATCCAGCTGGAAGAAGGGTTCTGCCATGTCACTGAAGGGGTCCCGGAGGTAGCCACACATGTACTCCCGCACCTTGCTGATGTCACTGGCCCACGGCTCCTAAGGCAGAGAACACAGAGGGCAGCGTTAGGGGAGGACCCGCACCGAAGGTTTAGATGTGAAACCATGATGGGAATCTCAGATCTGCAAGATCAAGAGCCTTCAGAAAGATGGAAGGTGAGTGGACTCAGGACCCAGGAGACTCATGACCTCTAGCTATGCACAGGGCAAGTACAGCACATACTCCCACCCCCCACTACTGTGCCTCCACCCTCATCCGCAGGGAATAGAGAGGAGTCCGGTGGCGATGGCCTGATTGTAATTATTCCCTTCACTAGATTTCAGACACAGGCAAACCTGGGGCGCGATTTGCTCCTTTTTCCTAACATGTTTTCATCTGACTTTCCTGTTGGAGCTTCACGGATTCCAAGGCCAGGTCTGCCCTTCCCTGTAACAAAGGGCACAGAATCGCCACCAGACATGCATCCAGCCCGTCACTTCTGGCTGGGCTGGAGCAGCTCTTCTAGACCGACCTGCGATCTGCAGTTCAAGACTCCAAGTCGCAGAGTTGCCGAATGTAAAGGCAGAGGGGACCACCCGATCTTCCAGGCTGACCTGACCTGTGATGGATTCTCCATCGCAGCCCAGCGTGAGCTGTTCTGGTGGTTAATCACCCTGGCTGTTAAATACAGGCACCTTCTTTCTGGTCTGAGTTTGTCAGGCTTCAGCTTCCCCCACCCATCGAGGCTTTCTCTCTGTCCATAGTTGGAGCCTGGGCAGTGACACAAACTGCCCTTCCCAGGAGACCACCATGGCCCCTTCACCCCAAGGCCTCTCTGCTGAGACTGACAACAGAGGATGCCAGCTTGCATGGCGGGGGGTCTCATGGTCTATCAGGAAGAGGAGTGAGATCCACCAGTCGGACAGCCACTGGATGAGCATGACTTTAGGTTATGAGTGGTCTGGACTGGCTTTGAGGTAGCCAGACGCTCTCTGGTTTCAGAACAGTGGCAGTCGTGAGAATTTCTGCTATCATCCACTGCATGCCGAGCTATGGCCTGGCAGAAGGGCTTGCAGTCCCTCAGGTATGACAGGGTATTGGAAGTGTGCCTTAGCGGGTACCTTCTGGTCGTGCTGCAGGAATTTCTGGAAGTCGTACAGTGTAATCTGGCACAGCTCTGCCCGGTCAACATTCCTGGGGAGGGGCAAGGAGCCGGTCAATGGGAGTGTGTGCAAGCCGGGTATGCCAGCCTCCCCCCACCAAACGACTCAGGCACTGGGTGTGTCTCCCCCATACAGATACCTAGTCCCCTTAGTCCCCCGACAATTCCAGCTCTTCCCCCCAATCCTCATGGAACCTGAGGTGGGTGAACCTGATTTGCACCTATTACTCCAGCCTAAGGCTCCCCTGATACCCCTCAATCCCAACCCGCAGCCCCCTGCTACCCCAGCCCTGGGCTCCCCCACTCCGCCACAGCTCAGCCAGTGCCCCTCAGTTCTAACCCGCAGCCCCCTGCTACCCCAGCCCTGGGCTCCCCACACACAGTGATGCACCTGAGTCCTGACCCGCAGCTCCCTCCCCAGACGCTGATCTCAGTGACACAGTATTAACCCGAGCACGCTAGTCATTGCCCTGGAGTCATTCTGGGTTTACATTACTGTGTCTGAGAATACAGACCTGCCCGTTCTCTGGCGATCTAGTAGGGTCAGAGTCATGTACCAGCCCACTGCGTCCCTGACATGGACTCCACCCCCGGCCTTGGCCTCACTGTCACCGTTTCTGGGAGCAGGGACAAGCAGAGTGTGGGTGCCCAGCCTTGTGGCCCTGGGGGGTGGGGCCCAGTGGTCCCCTCTGTGTGCTGCGGTGGGAGCAGACAGCGTTGGACTTGTGAAGAGACCTCTCGGTTCTGAGTCTTGTTCTCACACACACACACCGTGAACCAGGCTGGCGGGCGGGCCAGCGCCCCCCCCGGGACTGGGGCGGGATCTGACAAGGAGGGATCTTTGGTACTCACCGCAAGGGGAAGGATAGCTCCAGCTGCTCGATGACCTGGAATGCAAAGGGGGGGCAGGGGCAGGTAAGCCAGTGGAGAAGGTGCCACCTGCAGGCTGGATGGGGACTGGAGGAGGAGGCTCAGGGGGACTTTGTCTCGAGTCTGGGAAAGCATCAGGCAAAAGGCATCTCAGAGCCTGTGGCGGGAATCTGAGCTGCTGCTGGGACCTGCCGCACTGGCCACAGCCTCCCCTCACTGACTCACTCTAGATGGTCTTCCCCATCTCCTGTCCCTACAACAAAGCCCCCGCCCAGCCAGTTCTCAGGGGCTATCTCCTGTGGTGTGACAGGTGCATTTAGGGTGCTTCAGAAACGTCCATTAATAGTGACAAGCAGCACCATGACCCCTCTCTGGCCTTCCTTACCCATCCCCAGGCCTGGGCCCAGCCGCAGGGTCACCCCAGGTGGGGCAGAGTCACCGAGGGCCCCAACCTCTTACCGATTTCTGAGCATCGAACATTAGGTTTTTGTAGAAGTGAGTGAAGTGGGTGAAGGCCATGTCGCTCCTGGCTTCCACTTCCTGTTGGGAGGAAGGAGAGAGACAGAACCTGGTGAGAACAGAACTGGAGGGAGCAGACCTCCCAGAGCTGAAGGACCTAGGGAGACTTCAAGCCCCTGGTGCAGAAGATAGGGAAAAAAGGCCCCTGGCCGAAAGCACTGGCTCCAGTAGGATTCCCATGCTGTACTGCTCCAGCTGGGGGCATCTTGAGTCAAGCCCATGGGCCATGCAGAGCTCAGGGAGATCTACAATGTGGCCTGCAGCCACCGTCGGGCAGTCCATGGGGATTACACGTCCCGGTATGCAGTGCTACATGCTGAGCCAATGTCGTAATCCTGTCTCATGTCTAGAGATGGGCCGGCTGGATTATTTGGAGGGGAGGTTGGAATCTTGATCCAGAGTTTGTGCTTTGGGTCTCTCTCTCCTTACATGCTATACATGGTGAGTGGCAGAGAGAGGAGTATTGGGGCTTTGGATGGGGAATGAGCAGCAAATGCAACTGGCCAGCCCTAGGAATGGACTATGATCTTGTGTTTCCCTGTAAATGTCCCTTAGTAACAGGGAGTGCAGGAGGAAGGCACAGATAATCCAGTACAGGCTGGGAGCAGAAGGGCTTCCAGAGAGACCACTTGCCCAGGAGGCATCCGCTGCTCATTAATGTTCATTGACTGCAGACACCCCCCAAACACAAAATAGCAAAGGAAAGGGAATAAGAGAACGTAAGAACAGCCACACTGGGTCAGACCAAAGGTCCATCTAGCCCAGTACCCTGTCTTCAGACTGGCCAGTGCCAGGTGCCCCAGAGGGAATGAACAGAACAGGGAATCATCTAGTGATCCATCCCGTCGCCCATTCCCAGCTTATGGCAAACAGAGACTCGGGAGTGGGCAGGAGATAACCCTTCCAGGAAAAGCCAATGGGACTTTTGGCTTTGTTGACCCATCTTATCGAATTCTATAGCCAGGGAAAGTCCCTCTTCAATTCCATAGGGCAGCTCAACATCTCCCTCCCCACAGGAAGGGTCAATTCTATAGGACTTCAGAGTCATCTCTGAAGAACCTGGTTGGTTCTACAAATCTCTGCTGGCTTAGAATCATAGAATCATAGAATATCAGGGTTGGAAGGGACCTCAGGAGGTCATCTAGTCCAACCCCCTGCTCAAAGCAGGACCAATCCCCAACTAAATCATCCCAGCCAGGGCTTCCCCCCGTCCGATTCTATAGGCCTTGTCTATAAAGGATGGGTCAGAAAAGGAGAGATAAAGGGAGGGAGGAGAGACCGTGGGAGTGTTCTTACCACTAACTTGTCCCGCAGGAACCTCATGTTGGGCACCCGATAGTTCACCTGGGGCAGCATGGCCTTCAGATCCTTCAATGTGATACTGCAAGACACACAAAGCAGGAGTCAGGCCTCAGAGAGGGACATGCGGGAGCCCAGCTTCTCATGCAGGCTCAGGGCCTTCAGCTGGTCCCATGGGCTCGGGGCCTTGAGCAATTTCACTCCTGCCCTCCTCCCAGATGAATCTTCAGGAAAGCAAGGGCCTGTTTCTGTGAGAAAGAAGAGGGGTCAAGAGCTGCAGCCACTCCAGCCCCCATGGCTGCAGTGGTGGTTCATTCAACCTGTGTCTCCTGCAGGGAACTGAATTCTCAGTTCACTGAGCAGTTAGACACGGGGCTGGCCTCCAGACTGAGATCGCACTCAGGTGGTTCCAAAATCGAATCACTTCAGGTTGTGAAAAGAAAAGGAGGACTTGTGGCACCTTAGAGACTAACCAACTTATTTGAGCATGAGCTTTCGTGAGCTACAGCCCACTGCATCGGGTGAAACTCCCCAGTGTGGACACACTGAAGTGGTGTGGTTTGCGTGGCTGCAGTCCCTGTCACATAGAACTGGCAGGTACGGAACAGGGTTTGTTCCTGAGCTAGCTGAACGCATGCGGAGCAGACATTTCATTCAGGAACATGCACCGATTCTAAATAAACAAAGGTGAGCCACTGTGAGAGGTGAAGTTCCAGGCACTGGAACTCAGAAATCGGTCAGACAAATCAGGGTCTGAGCAAACCTAGGGATCTCCCATAGCTCATTTAAAAATATGAGTTACTTAATCTCCTCCTACTAAGGAGGGACGAAGGTATTTGTATTAGAATGACACCATCTACTGGGGACGGAGAGGAGGGCAGTTCAGAAACCTGAGAACTAAGACTGATACCTGGAAAGCAGGTCTGGTGAACAGACCAGTTGGGAAGATATTCGATCCCTCTGTCTGATTTTGGGCCGCACAGTTATTTTGCATAGTGCTCTTAAAAATACCAGCAGCCAGCGGGTCCTTGCTGCGTACTTGCCATGAGGGTTGTAGCCATAGAATCATAGAAAATAAGGGTTGGAAGAGACCTAAGAAGGTCATCTAGTCCAACCCCCTGCTCAAAACAGGACCAACCCCAACTAAATCATCCCAGCCAGGGCTTTGTCACGCTGGGCTTTAAAAACCTCTCAGGATGGAGTTTCCACCACCTCCCTAGGTAACCCATTCCAGTGCTTCACCACCTCCTAGGGAAACAGTGTTTCCTAATATCCAACCTAGACCTCCCCCACTGCAACTTGAGATCACTGCTCCTTGTTCTGTCATCTGCCACCACTGAGAACAGCCGAGCTCCATCCTCTTTGGAATCCGCCTTCAGGTAGGTGAAGGCTGCTATCAAATCCCCCCTAACTCTTCTCTTCTGCAGACTAAATAAGCCCAGTTCCCGCAGCCTCTCCTCATAAGTCATGTGCCCCAGCCCCCTAATCATTTTTGTTGCCCTCCACTGGACTCTCTTCAATTTGTCCACATCCTTTCTGTAGTGGGGGGACCAAAACTGGATGGAATACTCCAGATGTGGCCTCACCAGTGCCGAATAGAGGGGAATAATCACTTCCCACCATCTGCTGGCAGTGCTCCTACTAATGCAGACCAATATGCTGTTCGCCTTCTTGGCCACAGGGTCACACCGTTGACTCATATCCAGCTTCTCGTCCACTGTAATCCCCAGGTCCTTTTCTGCAGAACTGCTGCTTAGCTAGTCAGTCCCCAGTCTGTAGCGGTGCATGGGATTCTTCCATCCTAAGTGCAGGACTCTGCACTTGTTCTTGTTGAACACATCAGATTTCTTTTGGCCCAATTCTCCAATTTGTCTATGTCACTCTGGACCCTATTCCTACCCTCCAGCATATCTGCCTCTCCCCAGAGCTTAGTGTCATCCACAAACTTGCTGAGGGTGCAGTCCATCCCATCATCTAGATCATTAATGAAGATGTTAAACAAAACCGGCCCCAGGACCGACCCCTGGGGCACTCCACTTAATACTGGCTGCAAACTAGACATTGAGCCGTTGATCACTACTCGTTGAGCCCGACGATCTAGCCAGCTTTCTATCCACCTTATAGTTCATTCATCTGATCCATACTTCTTTAACTTGCTGGCAAGAATACTGTGGGAGACCGTATCAAAAGCTTTGCTAAAGTCAAGATATATCACATCCACCGCTTTCCCCATATCCACAGAGCCAGTTATCTCATCATACAAGGCAATCAGGTTGGTCGGGCATGACTTAGAATCATAGAATCATAGAATATCAGGGTTGGAAGGGACCCCAGAAGGTCATCTAGTCCAACCCCCTGCTCAAAGCAGGACCAATTCCCAGTTAAATCATCCCAGCCAGGGCTTTGTCAAGCCTGACCTTAAAAACCTCTAAGGAAGGAGATTCTACCACCTCCCTAGGTAACGCATTCCAGTGTTTCACCACCCTCTTAGTGAAAAAGTTTTTCCTAATATCCAATCTAAACCTCCCCCACTGCAACTTGAGACCATTACTCCTCGTTCTGTCATCTGCTACCATTGAGAACAGTCTAGAGCCATCCTCTTTGGAACCCCCTTTCAGGTAGTTGAAAGCAGCTATCAAATCCCCCCTCATTCTTCTCTTCTGCAGGCTAAACAATCCCAGCTCCCTCAGCCTCTCCTCATAACTCATGTGTTCCAGTCCCCTAATCATTTTTGTTGCCCTTCGCTGGACTCTCTCCAATTTATCCACATCCTTCTTGAAGTGTGGGGCCCAAAACTGGACACAGTACTCCAGATGAGGCCTCACCAATGTCGAATAGAGGGGAACGATCACGTCCCTCGATCTGCTCGCTATGCCCCTACTTATACATCCCAAAATGCCATTGGCCTTCTTGGCAACAAGGGCACACTGCTGACTCATATCCAGCTTCTCATCCACTGTCACCCCTAGGTCCTTTTCCGCAGAACTGCTGCCTAGCCATTCGGTCCCTAGTCTGTAGCTGTGCATTGGGTTCTTCCGTCCTAAGTGCAGGACCCTGCACTTATCCTTATTGAACCTCATCAGATTTCTTTTGGCCCAATCCTCCAATTTGTCCAGGTCTTTCTGTATCCTATCCCTCCCCTCCAGCGTATCTACCACTCCTTCCAGTTTAGTATCATCCACAAATTTGCTGAGAGTGCAATCCACACCATCCTCCAGATCATTTATGAAGATATTGAACAAAACCGGCCCCAGGACCGACCCCTGGGGCACTCCACTTGACACCGGCTGCCAACTAGACATGGAGCCATTGATCACTACCCGTTGAGCCCGACAATCTAGCCAGCTTTCTACCCACCTTGTAGTGCATTCATCCAGCCCATACTTCCTTAACTTGCTGACTTGCCCTTGGTGAATGCATGTTGATTGTTCCTGATCACCTTCCTCTCCCTCAAGCGCTTCAAAATGAATTGCTTGAGGACTTGCTTCATGATTTTTCCAGGGACTGAGGTGAGGCTGACTGGTCTGTAGTTTCCTGGATTCTCCTTCTTCCCTTTTTTAAAGATGGGCACTATATTTGACTTTTTTCCAATCGTCTGGGACCTCCCCCGATGGCCACGAGTTTTCAAAGATAATGGCCAATGGCTCTGCAATCACATCCGCCAACTCCCTCAGCACCCTCGGATGCATTGCACCTGGCCCCATGGATTTGTGTATGTCCAGTGTTTCTAAATAGTCCTTAACCTGTTCTTTCACCACGGAGGGCTGCTCACCTCCTCCCCATACTCTGCTGCCCAGTGCAGTAGTCTGGGAGCTGACCTTGTCTGTGAAGACTGAGGCAAAAAAAGCATTGAGTACTTCAGCTTTTTCCACATCATGTGTCACTAGGTTGCCTCCCTCATTCAGTAAGGGGTCCACACTTTCCCTGACCTTCTTCTTGTTGCTAACATACCTGTAGAAACACTTCTTGTTCCCCTTCCCATCCCTTGCTAGCTGCAACTCCAGTTGTATTTTGGCCTTTCTGATTTCACTCCTGCATGGCCGAGCAATATTTTTATACTCCTTAGTCATCTGTCCAAGTTTCCACTTCTTGTAAGCTTCTTTTTTGTGTTTAAGCTCACCGAAGATTTCTCTGTTAAGCCAAGCTGGTCGCCTGCCATATTTGCTATTCTTTCTGCACACCAGGATGGTTTGTTCCTGCGCCCTCAATAAGGCTTCTTTAAAATACAGCCAGCTCTCCTGGACTCCTTTCCCCCTCATATTAGCCTCCCAGGGGATCCTGCCCATCAGTTCCCTGAGGGAGTCAAAGTCTGCTTTTCTGAAATCCAGGGTCTGTATTCTGCTGTTCTCCTTTCTTCCTTTTGTAAGGATCCTGAATTCGACCATCTCAGGGTCACTGCTGCCTAGGCTGCCACCCACTTATACTTCTGGAGGATCTGGAGGATGAGAATGATCTGGAGGATGGTGTAGATTGCACTCTCAGCAAATTTGCGGATGATACTAAACTGGGAGGAGTGGTAGATACGCTGGAGGGGAGGGATAGGATACAGAGGGACCTAGACAAATTGGAGGATTGGGCCAAAAGAAATCTGATGAGGTTCAATAAGGATAAGTGCAGGGTCCTGCACTTAGGACGGAAGACTCCAATGCACCGCTACAGACTAGGGGCCGAATGGCTAGGCAGCAGTTCTGCGGAAAAGGACCTAGGGGTGACAGTGGATGAGAAGCTGGATATGAGTCAGCAGTGTGCCCTTGTTGCCAAGAAGGCCAATGGCATTTTGGGATGTATAAGTAGGGGCATAGCGAGCAGATCGAGGGATGTGATCGTTCCCCTCTATTCGACATTAGTGAGGCCTCATCTGGAGTACTGTGTCCAGTTTTGGGCCCCACACTACTAGAAGGATGTGGATAAATTGGAGAGAGTCCAGCGAAGGGCAACAAAAATTATTAGGGGTCTAGAACACATGACTTATGAGGAGAGGCTGAGGGAGCTGGGATTGTTTAGTCTGCAGAAGAGAAGAATGAGGGGGGATTTGATAGCTGCTTTCAACTACCTGAAAGGGGGTTCCAAAGAGGATGGCTCTAGACTGTTCTCAATGGTAGCAGATGACAGAACGAGGAGTAATGGTCTCAAGTTGCAGCGGGGGAGGTTTAGATTGGATAGTAGGAAAAACTTTTTCACTATGAGGGTGGTGAAACACTGGAATGCGTTACCTAGGGAGGTGGTAGAATCTCCTTCCTTAGAGGTTTTTAAGGTCAGGCTTGACAAAGCCCTGGCTGGGATGATTTAACTGGGAATTGGTCCTGCTTCGAGCAGGGGGTTGGACTAGATGACCTTCAGGGGTACCTTCCAACCCTGATATTCTATGATTCTATGATTGATTCTATGATTCCCCTATCAATTCTTCCCTGTTTGTGAGCAGCAGCTCAAGAGGAGCACGGCCCCTAGTTGGTTCCTCCAGCACGTGCACCAGGAAGTTGTCCCCAACACTCTCCAAAAACTTCCTGGATTGTCTGTGCACCGCTGTATTGCTCTCCCAGCAGATGTCAGGGTGACTGAAGTCCCCCATAAGAACCAGGGCCTGTGATCTGGAAACTTCTGTTAGTTGTCCGAAGAAAGCCTCATCTACCTCATCCTCGTGGTCTGTTGGTCTATAGCAGACACCCACCACAACATCACGCCACGAGAGAGCTCTTCTCTGAAAGACTAACATGTGTGTGACTTCAGCAAAAGAACCCCAAGTCAGCAAACCTTTAGAGATGGTGGGCCCGGATCCCCAGCCAGTGTAAATCAAGGCAGCTTTACTGACTTCACACAGTCCCACCCACTCATGGTTACGTGTGCCAGTGTGTATTTGTCTGCAGAACAAGAAGGGGAAGTGGGCCCAGCCCAGTCCTTCCAGTCCCAGGCCTTGCTGGGGATTTGGCTTGGAAGGGATGTGCGCAGAATCTAGCATGCTATTGTGCTTAGTTCTTCACTGGCTTTCTGTCATGCTTCTCGGGGCTAGGTATGGGCTGAATGACTGCAAGAGCTGATAAAAACAACAAGGAGTCTGGTGGCACCTTAACAGGGTGACCAGACAGCAAGTGTGAAAAATTGGGACGGGGGTGGGGGATAATAGGAGCCTATATAAGAAAAAGACCCAAAGATCAGGACTGTCCCAATAAAATCGGGACATCTGTTCACCCTACACCTTAAAGACTAACAGATTTATTTGGGCATAAGCTTTCATAGATAAAATACCACTTCTTCTTCTTCTTCTTCTTCTTCTTCTTCAGATGCATCTGAAGAATTGGTGTTTTACCCACCATTGGCCTGCTAAACCCAGGGTTGTGAGTTCAATCCATGAGGGGGCCATTTAGGGATTGGGGCAAAAATTGGGGATTGGTCCGGCTTTGAGCAGGGAGTTGGACTAGATGACCTCCTGAGGTCCCTTCCAACCCTGATATTCTATGATTCTATGATAGTCTCTAAGGTGCCACAAGTTCTCCTTTTCTTCAAGCTATTTGGGTTTCAACAGAACCCAAATGCACAGCCCTGTGTGGCTTGAATCTATAGTTACCCAAGTCAGACAGCAGGTGGCAGCATGTTCTGTTCCACTCCTGCTCCCTCCTCTCCCCCACCCCTCCCCACCCCCTTCTGCACTTGCTAGCCTAGTCTACAGCTGCTCATTGTGTTCTTTGGGATTTGAGGGAGGGCCCTGGGTGTAGTTTAGTAGCACGAGTTCTGATCTACACCAGAAAGGGTTCGCTGGTATAGCTACACCGGCAAACCCTCCAAGCACAGACGCAGCTTAGAAAACCTGGATTTGTGCTGGAAATGGCCCACCTGTTGATCACTTTAGATAAGCTATTACCAGCAGGACAGTGGGGTGGGAGGAGGTATTGTTTCATATTCTCTGTGTGTATATAAAGTCTGCTGCAGTTTCCACGGTAAACATCTGATGAAGTGAGCTGTAGCTCACGAAAGCTCATGCTCAAATAAATTGGTTAGTCTCTAAGGTGCCACAAGTACTCCTTTTCTTTTTCCTAGTAGAGATTATCTCAGATCCGTGAACAAAATAACCTGTCCCAGCAAAGGGACTCTTTTTTTGTGGGTATAACTGCATCTACCCTGGGGCTGTTGCTGGTGCAGCTGTGTCAAGTAGGGGAGTGATTTTTTTCACACTTCTCACCAACAGAGCTAGGCCAGCCAAACTTTTCCAAGTAGACTGGGCCTGAGACACCAAGAACCACATCACTTGATTCCGTGCTGGATGGGCCACAAGCCGTGACTTGGAGAGGTCCCTGGAAGGGCTGGGTATTGGTGTGTGACACCAGCGAAGGAAAGGCAGGCAGGAAAAGCTCAGCCGAGTTGCAGAGATGTGGGTCCTGATCCTGAGAAGTGCCAAGTGCCGTCCCCGCACGGGGACTCTGATCAGAGTTGTGGGTGCTCTGAGAGTTCAAAGACCAATCACTGACCGGGATACGGGTGCTCAGCACTGTTCAGGATCAGACCCCAAGCATTGCTTTTCTTTGCTTCAGCTGGCCTCACTGAATTTAACGTGATCAACTTCAACCGCCTTCAGCTCCGCGGCCAGCCTCTGCGCTGTGCTCGGGAACTCAAGGTAGAGCGGCATGGGGTGGGGATAGCACAGGGGGACTCCTGCTGTATCTCAGAGACTCAGCCACGCACCTTCCCAGCAGGCCTCCCAGGATCCCTGCCGTGGCATTAATACCGCTCTCATCTGGCACTTTGAATATGCTGTGCATCCCCCAATGGTGTACAAATTCCACCCTGTCGAGCTGGGCTGCTGTGTAAGCCCATTGCTGGAGTACCCGAGTGCTTTGTAGGACAATCCCAGTGGGATAACAAAACATGCCTCATCAAATCATCTCAGTAGGATTCTGCCAAGTGCCTGGTGCACGGAGGCATCCCTGAAGACTCCCGCAGTGCCGTCTCTTGGGAATAGTCCAGAAGGCCTTTCTCCCTTGCTGTGCTTCTATTTCAGACTTGAATATAGCACTCAGGTCCCCAGGGGACACACCCATGTTTTTGTAAAGCTGATTGCTCCTTCCACACTAGCCCCACTTCCTGTCCCATGTCCCATCATTTCCAGCCCTGGCCCCCTCCTCTTCCTGGATGGAACCCCCTCACTTCCTGTCCGATGTCCTGTTTACACAGAGCTGGCAGGGCAAAGAGCAAAGAGCAAAGAGCCCCGCCCCAGCAGCCGCACCTTGTTAGCTAGCTGGACAGAAAGGGACCAAAATGCTGATTAAACAAAACATTTTAAATCCAGTTTTCTTTCCTCCTCCTTGCCCCCCCTTCCCCCCCCGTCCCATCTCCCAACTCCCCACGGCTTCTCAAAGAGACACTGTCTCATTTCCATCTTCTCCTTTTAGTCCTGTTTGGCTCCAGATTCCTTGAGAGTCTGTTCCAGTGGGATCCTGGCCCTGGCCGCGGCTCTGACAATGGGATCAAATTTCCCCCCTGCTTAAGGCCACAATATCTTACAACCTGAGCCTGTCAGCCCTCATCCCGCTGCCTTAGCATGCTCCAAGCTCCCAGTCCAGCCAGTGGGAGTTCGGAGAGCACGAGGACTGCAGGATCAGGGCTTCTGCTGCTTTATCTCCTGAGGCTTTATCTCCCAGCCTGTGGGGACTGGGTGATGGGAAAGGAGCAGGCACGGCAGGGCTGTGTGGTGGGCAGGGAGTGGCAGAGAGCTGGACGACTGGGCAAGGCCTCATTTTTCCAGCCACCATGAAATGTTTGTCTCCTCTCCCCATCCTCTAAAGAGCTCAAGCATTTCTCAGCTCCCAAGGGGGTTTGCCAGCCTCAGGCCCTATCAGGCCAGCTCCCTCCATCCTGCGCAGACCGCCCTCCGGTGGCTGCCACAGAAAGTGTGGCAAACCCGGGCGAGAGGCAGATAGTCTCTGCAGTGACACCTGCTAGTATGAAAACGCCGAGGGTCATCAACCTTCCTGTCGTCCCTGCCTGTCTGCCTCACTCACCTGCCTTCTCTCGTCCTGTCCATCAAGTCAAACTGTTTCCGCAGCCACCTAGCAAGAGGATTGAGAAGAAACGGATCAGCCTGGAGCCGAGGGGTCCCAGCAGTGAGGCGGCTAGGAGCACGGTGCAGTTAACGCACATGCTGGGGTGATGGGGTCCGGCCTCTTCCGGAGGGGATTACACCTCGTGAAGGCTTTTCATCCCCTCATCAGCACCGCAGCCAGCTCTGGGGCCCGCATTCGTTCAGTGCTCTCCAGGATTACTGGGCACCCCAAAATGGAGATGAAGGAAAACCAAACTAGCGACCCTGTGTGCTCTTCACTTCCCTGAGTCCCACCTCACTCTGCAGTGCCCAGGGGTGGCTCGGATCTCCCGGCCCACCCAGCCAGGCTCTGGAGTGACGGGACAGAGGGATCCCCAGCCCCCCCAGCAGCCCAGCTCCCTGCCCATACCTTTCAATCTGCAGCGGCGTCTGGGCTTTCTGAGTGTCCGTCACCAGCCAGTTCAGGCCCGTCATCCACAGGTTGACGTCTTCCTCACAGAAGGCTGAGGAGGGAGAAGAGCAGAGTCCGGCAGTGGGAGGAGCGGGGCTAAGGGAAGTTCCCTCTCTGCACTTACACTAGAGATGGGGCCAGGCTGCAATGGTCTGCTCCTGGGCTGACCTCTCCCCACAACTCGGGGGTACGGGGATTGAGGGATCTGGCTGCTCCTCATCTCTAGCTGAGTTTAGACAATGCACCGAGATGGTGCTCTTCTTCGTACGGACAACAGCACCATTTCCATCCAGCTGGCTTCACCCTTGGCCAACTGGGCACAGATACCGACTTCTATTTTTCACGGTGGGTGCTCCACACACGTGCTGCCCCGAGGCCCTGCCCCCCAGTCTGCCCCTCCCTGAGGCCCCGCCCTCATTCCACCTCTTCCCGCCCCCACTCTACCCCCTCCCCCAGGCCCCCCGCCGGCTCACTGCTCTCCGCTCTCCCCCTAGAGCCTCCCAAACAGTCAGGGCTGGTGGGCGCTGAGCCCCCGCTATTTTTCCCCGTCGGTGGTGGAGCCCCAGAGCACCCCTGGAGTTGGCGCCTGTGCCAATGGGCCAAATTCACCCTGAGAGTGGCATTCCATCAGGGATGGCCCTCGCTGCGAGTGGGGTCTGGGTGGGGGCGCTGTGTCAGGGAGGAGGGATGCTGGGAGAAAGGACTGCTGGAGGGAGATGGTGACAACCTGACCTGTCTTCTCCCTGCTAAGAGGCTTCATGGCCCTCTTCCCCCAGCCCGTGTGTCCACGTCCTGGTTTCCACCACAGCTGACTCCCACCCTCTCCCCTGGGCCAGGACAGAGCTTGGGTGGGTGGGAAAGCTGATGAGGCCGCCTCATCCATGAAACCTTAACAGCCCTAGGAAGAAATGGGGAAGGGAAAGAATCAAGATTAGACCCTCCCTGCCCGTTGTCACCCTCCATCACCCAGCACTGACCAGCAACACTGAGTGTCCGGAGCCTGAAATCTGGGCCATACAGCATGATGAAACACATGGCGGAGTCCAGTTTCCGAGCATCTTCTGGATATCGTTCAAAATCCCGGGAATTCTTCCCTGGGCGGATCTCTTTTATCTCCCGAATGTCGACTAGAGGAGAAAGAGATGGACACGTGACCCTTTCCCAGAAGCCCATCCTCGTTTTCACTCTTCCATGCCCAGAGCCGCAGCTGCTGTTGTGCAGTGTAGTGATTAATAATGACATATTCCGGCAGTATCTTTTAGCTGGATTGTGTGCATGAAAATAACTCTGGGCCTCACTGAAATGCAGCCACCTCTGGGGTGGAACACAGCAGCTGCTTAACTGCATGCAGCAGCTTCAGACAGGACGTGAGGAAGAATCATGTTTCCAATCAAATGCTTAGGAGGAATTTGGGGAGGCAGAATGCATCCAGTCAGAGATACCATTTCTACTCTTGTGAAAAGTGCCATGTGATCAGTTATAACCCCAAGCAGCCAGGACTGCAAGCTTATCTGACGTGCACTCAGTGGCATGGCACCCTCGAGCATGTCACTGCGGCTTTCGGGTCTATGCCATCTCAGAAGGAAGCAGGTTGTTGCATGACCACTTTCTGCAACACATAGGTTTTCCTTGTGGGTCAGCTCTGCAAGCAGATTCGCAGTGGAGCTCTGCAGCATTGTTTATGTATTGTGAGCCTTGGAAGGATTCTGGTTTTACTAGTCAATGTTGATTTCACTGCACACAGACAAACCAATAACAAATCTTTCCACTGATAATAACTGAAATTGACAGCTAGGCAAAGTACGAAAAATGCTGTGTGAGAACTTATTAGAGTTTGCTTTTAGGGTATTTGCTTTGTATGCTTTGACGTAACGCAGCCAGTTTGTGTGTGAACGATTATACAGCTTTAATTTTTTGAATCTCAGCCTCTACCGTCATAACTAATTATTGTCTGACCCATCCCGATAATTTCCCCCACTGTGAAAATTTATATTGATACAACTAAAACAATGCTTAAAACCCCTTAATTTTGTGCTGTTGTGAACAATTAAATTGATAAGCATTTTTAAAAATGCTTAAAAATGAATATTATCCCTCAAAAGGACATATTAAAAAATCAAATTCTGGCAAGCCCAGGTTTTGTAAATATGTATGTAAACAAACAAGAGAGCAGAGGGCAGAGCCCCAGCACTCAGAAGCAACCCTACAATAACAAACTAAGAGGAAAATAGTTTCAGGTTTCCAACGGGGCTGCAATTCAAAGACTAGAAAGTTATTTTAAAGAGTGCTGGGCAAAGGCCTGGTAACTTTATTTAGGCAAAGCTCTCTCTGAGGGCTGTGGGAGTTTTGCCTGAGTAAAGACTGAGGGGGAAATTCACCCCTGGTCGGCGGCCCAGAACAAAGCCTAGTCAAGTTCATACCCCATTAGGGCTGGAGAAGGAATCAAGCGGTGCCCTGCTGCACGGGCTGGCTTTCATTCGGCGAGAGAAGACATGTCAGTGTCCTCCCCCATGCATATTTTGAACAGCTAAGCCACTGTGTATGACCGGGCTCTCCTTGCATGGTGGGATTCTCGAATGGTGAAAGCCACAAGAATGGAGTTTGCAGATCAACCAGCGTCACTGCTGGGGGAGCTGCGTACTGGCCAGACGTGTCTCAGCCATGGAGTCAGAATGAACCGAGCCCATGGGTATGTGACACAGCCCTGCCCAGGCAGGTGTATTATACCCATGTCTGGTCATTGTCTTGATATTGCACCCAAAGGGCTCCTGTGGGGTCTCTGCCAAAGCTAAGCACTAGCTGGTTCTCATGGGTATTGTGAGGTGTTTGTACAGGAAACCATTTTAGAGTCATGTAACATGTAGTCTATTATGCTCCCAAACTGCTGGAGGTAAAACATGCCATCCCAGGCAGGATGAGTCTCAGAGCTGAGTAACTCAACACTGAGAATAATCGACTAGTCCTGGGTTTGTGATCTGGATCAGGTGCAGGCTGGAGCATCCACAAGACGAAAGGAGCCCTGGACTCTGAATAGGGGACCTTCAGGGGTGAACCGAAGTTACCAAATTGCCTTGACTATGAAACGAGACAAAAGTCTGGATCTGTGTAAGAGGAGAAAGGGCACGAGATGTTCTCCATTACAGAAGTGGCTCTGCCCGCAGGAAAGGCGGATCCCAGAGCTCAGGGCTGGACAAACGCAGCAAGGACTGACCATTGGGTGAGAAACACCTTCTCAGATGGCAAAGGAACCACTTAATAAGTACGGGGTCTAGACTGTTTTATATTTTTCTTTTATCTGTCATCATATGTTGCCAAATCCTTATCGGGGCAAAGGAAGCTCCCTAAAAGTCAGGAGGGCCACCACTGCTTGAACCATGGCCCCCCCCCCCCCCCCATGCTGCCCCTTCCCCCCAAGACCCCTCCCACACGGCCCTTCCCCTGAGGCCCCGCCCCCTGCTGCCCCTTCCCTGAGGCCCCGCCCCCTACTGCCCCTTCCCCGAGGCCCCTCCCCTGCTGCCCTTTCCTCTGAGGCCCCAAACGCTGTTGCTTCTTCCCACCAAGGCCCCGCCCTCACGCCTCCTTTTTCCCCCAAGATCCCCACCCCCCACTCGCTCTTCTCCGCCCTCTCCCCCTGTCGCTTGCCTTTATGCCCGGTAAAAAGTGGACAGGCATAGCCCCCTGGCCCTCCTGTTCCAGCACCCCATATCCTTATATTTGCTTTTATTTAAATATTTATCTCAAGCTCGGGCAAATAAACTTCACTTTGGTTTTACTATAGACATGTCTAAGTGCCTTATGCTAAAGAGTGTGTTGAACGGAGGTGACCCCAGTGATTGGGGGGGGGTTCCCCAGAGGCAGCAGCTCGTTGGGCAGTGTGGGTGTCCAGAAGCCCCGGGACTGGGTACTCGAGTGTAACCAAGCAGGGTGTGTAAATTGCTAGGCTCTACTGGGGAAGAGGGGGGCTTGCGATAGCCCTTGTGTTGCCAGCAGCCGGCCCATTCGCCTGGCACAGACCGGGCTCCCTCACACCGTAAGCGGGTGGCTGATGATTCACCCCGGACACCTCGATTCACCCCCAGAAATGTCACAGGCATCTCAGATGGACGGGAAGGCGGGCTAGTGCTTTACCAGCCTCATCAATAGGGAAACAAGAGGAAAGCCGCCCTACTCCACTCCCAGGCCCACTCTCGAATGGGGACAAGATCACCAGACCCCTGCCCACCGTTCAGTCTCTTTCCAAACAACATCCCGGGGGCCCCACTGCCAGGGCAGGTCTCCAGCCACTCAGAGCCTGTCAGCTGCTGATCTGGGGCCACCAGGTGCCTTCCAAAGGGATCGACTGGCATGGACAGAAGACACGAGGAGGCAGGGCTGAGAGCAGAGGTTGGGAAATAGATTCAGAGCCTGATCCAGGGCAGGGTGCATCCAACTGGGAAGTAAGAAGTGAATCCTCAGTTCTCTGGGAGTAGGGTGCAGGCCTTTCTGCCATGGTTTTCACACACGCCACAAGGCTCCTGGCCATACCATGGAGAAGTGCTGTGATCGGCTGGGCCGAGCGCCAGGCAGGGGTTATGGAACCCCGTGGCCAGTCTCCACCATACGCACATTCACCTTCTCACCCCCTGCCATGCAAAACAGACTGGGAGTGTGGGAGGGACACTGGGCGAGGGGCAGGAGCCAGTGGGATTTTGGCTTATGGAGACACTGGGAAATGGAGCGAGAATGGGTGAGACGCTGCACAGGGAACTGGGCTGAGGTGGGGTCATACCAGGAACAGGGGTAGAAGTCACGGAGAGCTGATTGCTTCCTGCCCTGAACCTTGGGTCCCCATTCACACCTGGGCTGAGGGGGGTCAAAAGACTGGCACTCATGCTGGCCAGTGTGAATGAGACACAGGGTGTGGGGCAGAGGGGACTGAAGCCCAGGACCATGGGTAGGGGGCAGAGGAGTCTGACAGGGATATGGGCACCCCTGTGTCGGGGGATGTGACAGAGGAGGCTGATGCGGGGTGCGGGCACCCCTGTGTCAGGGGATGTGACAGAGGAGGCTGACAGGTGTGCAGGCACTGGGAGCCCCTGTGCCAGGGGGATGGAAAAGACAAGGCTGACGGGGGGGAGGAGGCAGGCACCTCTGTCCCAGGGGGATGGGATGGAGAAGGCTGACAGGGTTGCAGGCACTGGGCATCCCTATGCGCAGGGATGGGACGGACGAGGCTGATGGGGTGGTGGGCACTGGGCACCCTGTGCTGGGAGGATGGGATGGAGGATGCTGGCAGGAGTGCAGGCATTGGGCACCCCTGTGCTAGGGGGATGGGACAGAGGAGGCTGATGGCGGTGCGGGCACTGGGCACCCCTGTGCCGGGGGATGGGATGGAGGATGCTGGCAGGAGTGCAGGCATTGGGCACCCCTGTGCTAGGGGGATGGGACGGAGGAGGCTGATGGTGGTGCGGGCACTGGGCCCCCCCGCTGCAGGTGCCAGGAAGGAAGACGCCAGCCTTGGAGCCAGAGCAGCTCCTCCCAGCTCCATTGGCACTGGTGTCTCTCTCTGGCTGGTAAACAGCTCCCAGAGGTCAGGCCTCCTTCGCTAGCAGTCGGGTTACCCAGGTAACACCAGAACGCTGTCAGGAAACCGACAACGTCACCCGCATCGGCTGCCAAATCTGATGCTGGCAGCACAGCCGAGGCGAAGAAATCTGCCAGCGGGTCTGGAGAGACACCAGGGTCCGCAGGGGCTGCACAGAGCTGGGGACCAGGGGTCTCAGGATGGGCTGGACAGAGCAGCCCCCTAGGACACTCTGTCCTGCCCCCCATGGAGATGCAGAGGTGGTTTCCCTGTGCAGAGTGCAAGGGGCTATGTCCTGGCTGGGTAACCTGCGCCCACAGAGAAAGGGTCAGACCCCTGCTTTGCTCTCCTGGAGGCATGCCAGGGTGTCAGCAGGGTTTACAGGGCCGGGGTGAGCTGTAGAAACCGTTCCCTCTGATAAGGCCAACGCCCCCTTCCCTGTGATCCAGTCCGCTTCCCTCTCCCTGGATTGAGTGTCTGATCCCTTTCACCAGCTGCCCGTGAAATAACTCCTTCCTCCGGTGCCCCCACACTGCTTTCCGACGCTCCTGGCAGCGAGACCTT